TTTTAAAAGAAACACCTAATGGCTGTAGAGAGACACAAAACAACAACAAAGAGACAAAAAATGACCACAAAAAGACAAGGCACAGCTACATATGATATACAAACAGACAATGACTACTATCTTGTCTGCATTACAATCTTTTGCACAACAGTTTTACACAAGATATGAATCCTGTGTTGTTTTGAGATGATATCTTGTGTATGTAGGAAGATAACCTGCGCAGAAATGATACTAACTCCACAAACTGTGATTGTAAGATAGAAAGTATAATTTCCTGGAACTCTGGTGGCTTCTTGAATGTTTTGATAATCACTGTGAGTTGTTTTTTTTTTTTTTCTTCCAAAAGTAGACCTTTTAACACAACATAGCAGGAAAATCACAGGTGGAAATGTCAACAGTATCCATAGCTGCTTTCCACTGAGGTGAACCAGCTCCGTGGTCTTCATGTCGCTGTGTTGTTGTCGACATTTGATAAATGGTCTCTGACAATAATGTTTAAAAAATAACAGCAAAAAAAAAAAGACGGACCTGGTGATCAGGTCTACCTTAAAGAGTCACTCTGCAAATTTGACATGTTTTCTTTCCAACACAAGAGCTAAAGATTTCAAACACTGTTAAACTATGCTTTAGCTGTAAGTAAATCCCACAGCTACAGTCACCCAATTCAGATGGTAGTAGGTAGAGAGTTTATTTTTTTGTTTTTTGTTTTTTTTATCTCCACTGTAGCAACAAAGTCGTTTGAATTCATCACTGCTCTGATTCGCATCACTTCTTCATGACACAGCAGCTCTGTGGGAGAGGATCTCATAAGATTCCAGCAAGTCTCCCAGCTCGATCTGCAAATCTGTAGAATACACCTTTAAATGTTCCTATTTCTACTAAGTGTCTGCATAAAAACAAATATTTTTACTGTTTGGCTCCAAGCAGCCGGTCAGATCACCTGTGTGTGAAACATTTCCTGTGTGGGAACACGTCCTTCTGTTTTGTTAATACACTGGACTGGTCTGACTGCATGCCTGCTGAGAATGTCATCGTAGCCTTTTGTTTAACTTAACCAAGAGTCATGAATCGATTAAGTCTGGCCATATGTGTAACACTCAGCTAGAAGGACAAAATAATCAGACTAGGCTGCTGATAATTCCAGCTCCAACAGCTGTAACAAGAGAAAATCTAAATGTACTTGTTTCGGTTTTCTGCTTCTCAGATACTGATTCTTCACAATCTGCTTCTAAGAAGATAAACAGAAATGGTCTTAGCTTTAGTAGCACTTTTGGGTCTTTTCAGTCTTTTTTTTTGTTGAAACTTTTTATTTCTAGCATCTTAAGGAACATTTTCAGAACAGGGAAACCAAATTTACATCATCAAGACTAAAATAATTAAAGTAAAATTAGAGGGAAAAAAAACTAAAATACATTACTATTATTATTATTATTATGATTATTAACAACAACAACAACAACAACAACAATAATAATAATAATAATAATAATAATAATAATGCATTACAAGTCTGTGCATCACAATAATCTTGACATCTATTGCAGATATAAAAACATACACCATTTTCTCCATCTCGTTTCCCCTTAGTCTTTTTGGAGTCTTATAGAATAGGTCATTTGCTCTAGGGTATGCAGCTGATTAACACTGTTAACAAATAGGTCCATGGTAGGGCAATCCCTCTGGAGCCAGTGTTTTGTGGTGGTTTTTTTACTTGCTGCCAGCAAAATCTTGAAGAGGTAAGCATCATTCGCATTCATACCATCAGGAATAATCCCAAAATAAAGAGTCGTAAATGTCATGCAAATATTAAAACCTAGGACCTTTGATATATCTCTTGTCACCTTACTCCAGTAGTCCTGGATAATGGGGCAGGACCAAAACACATGAGTGTGATCAGCCATGACCTCTCCACATTCCCTCCAGCAGTATTGGGTGCCACTTTGTTTTGATTTCTGTTTAGGGGTGATGAAGAAGCGGATTAGGTTCTTCCAGCAAAAGTCCCTCCAAGTCTTTGAGTTTGTAGAGGTTACCTGTTTGCCCAAACCATACGTCTCACATAAATGATTGAAGTCAGGAAGTTTTCCTTTTTTAACAATCTTGCACAAGGATGTAATACCACAGTGAGCCCATTGCCTAAACCTTACATCCAGCATTGCAGGTTTGAGTTCCGGGTGGTACGCCGGCCATCTGAGTATTTTCACCTCATTTAGAAGCTGGAAACGTTTGATCACTTCCCCCCATACATTCAAAGAGTGATTTATAAACTGACTTGTTGTCCGTGATGTCTCAGCTTTTCCCCCATGGCCTTGTAACGATTGTATTGGTGTGTCTGTTAGTGATAACTCTATTGGGTCTTTTCAGTCTTATAACTCTAAAATAATTCTAATGTGCTGCATGCTGCTTCCTACAAAGAAAGTTTCCCCATTTGCACAATCATCCAGATAGACTTATTTTACGACTATGGACCTTCGGCTTCAATGGTTCTGAACAACAAAAAATGATCAAATTAACTGTGTGTTGCTTGTACCCACATTGTTTTCCAGCCTGTCATATCCCATACAACCCTTATCTGAATAATTTGGTTTTAAATGCCTTGAATGCGTAAACTTTGTGACACTGCAAATAGTTTGGAACTCAATCTTGCCCAAGTAGGAAACTTAGATCAGTGGGATGTTTAAACCTGAAGCCTGCACTGAACAGTGAGAACAAACTTCCAGCGATGTAAGAAAAACTGTACCCAGTTCAAGATGCTCTTCAATGAAAATCAAACCTTTAGCCTTGTTAACATATTATATCATATAACATATTGTTCATACAATGTTTTTTATATCATAGACAACACATCATGAGCAAAATAAGCAGTCACTGCCATGGCTGAGCATTGCTACCCTGGAACTGCATTGCATGGATTATTTTCAAGCCTGGTCCACAAGGACGTGAGCATCTATTAATGCATGCGGTTGCTTTTTTTTTTTTTTTTTTTAAACGTTTTTTGATCTTTCATCCACACACAAATGCAGTCATAGGTGACTACAAAATAGCTTTGGTGAGATTTGTTACAATTTTCGAAGATCAATGTGACCATCTGCTGAACTTTCATTTTTGAGTCTTCTAAGTAAAAAAAATCATCCATGTAACACTTTGTAAGCCACCTCTATTTCCTCCACGCAGGTGTGTGTCACGCCGACTTCACTGCTTCATGAATGACAGTATTCTTTCCACCGAACACATTGTTGGCATGCTTCAGTGGCAGCATAAACAGACTGATTGGTTTTCATCCATTGTTTCATTCTTTGCATATGTGGGTCAGGTTCACAGGGTGAAATGCAGCTTAGTGGAGCTTCACAGTCGCTCCCAGGCATTATGGGAGATGCGGTCTTCCTGTTAAACAGGTTAAGTTGCCTAACTTAAGTGAATATGATATACTGAGGCAAAGTAAGTTTATTTATATTGCACTTTACAAGAACTAACCGAAACCAAGTGCTTAGCATACGATATAAACATTATCAGTGACAGTAAAGTCACAACACCTACACAATCTCCCAAAGCAAAAAATATTTATACACTTGCAAACTACTTCATCCCAAGATTGGCTATAATATAAACTTGGCGATGAATAGCTTGAATACAGATTTGTTTTACAAATATTCACCAGGTAAGTATACCAGCAGAAGTATTAAAGGTATGACAGCTTGATTTTGACCGCTTTATAAGACAAGTCCGCAAGACTGTCTTTGAATGCACTCTACCCCCACATAGACTTTTCAGTTTTACATTTTTATTGTAAGCCACTATTTAGAAACCTTCCCAGTTGCTTACTTACACTAAGGCAGCCATTTTTTATTTTATTTTTTAAAAGAAAAGGCTTTTGCATCAAAAGCTTTCTGCAATGTTATGTTTAAATATGTAAATTAGGTAATGTCATACAAAAAAATATGCAGAAATCTGCATTAATTTCCATAACAGAAATTGTAACATTGCATAAAGTCAGGTTCAAAATTCTATTTTTTTGTTGATGCATTAGAGTTTTTACAAAGGGAATTTTGGTATCCTGTTTAATTACTGGATAAAACAGAAAATATTGTCAAAAGGCTCATAACAACAACAACAACAGCAACAATAATAAGTTTGTTATTAATATTATTGTTATTATTATTATTATTAGTAGTAGTAGTAGTAGTAGCAATAGTATTAGTGGCAGTAATAACATAAATAACAATAATAATATCTGTTAAAAAAACTATAAATAGTGGCTTGCAATATATTGTGACTATTCTTGTTATTATTTTACCAAAACAATATCAGTTTGTCTATTGAACATGTATTCCAATATAATTAATAAAACATATTATTATTTTTAAAAAGGTGAAAATAATTGGATTACTCTTATGGTATTACTATTATTATTATTATTATTAATAATAATAATAATAATAATAATAATAATAATAATAATAATAATAATAATAATAATATTATATTGGAAGCCACTATTTCTATTTTAAAAACAACTAACAAATATCCCAATTAAACTTCCCCGGTTGACTACTCATACTGCAATGTTATGTTAGAATATGCAAATGAGGTATTATCTCTCTAAATGTACACTCATTTGCATAATGTTCAAAAGACAAAGTGTAGTAAAATAAACAATTGGACTGAAATTTTAATTTACATCATTTGCATACACAGCTTCAAATAAATGCTGTGTCGTTGCCGTTTTTAGACCTTAAAATACTTAAAATAAACTTTATATTTGTAATAGCTGGAAAGTAGCGCTTTTTTTATTACGTCACAGAATGACTTTTATTTTGAAAGTTGAATTGGTGCCGATCTAGCTTCGTTACATATCTGAGCAGCATCACAGCCGCTAGCGGACTCTCTCTTTCACATTTCTATATCATGTGAGCTGTCTCGTTTAAATTTAAAGCTTCTCTTCGAAAATTTTTTGCCTAAGTCCCCTAAAGACTTTTTTTTAAAACAGTTTTTTTTTAAACGTTTATTGAAAAAAAAAAAAAAAAGTCGTCTGCGTTATTAGCCGCTGGATATTATAACTGCGTGAGGCTAATGAGGCTAGGCTAACGTGCTAGCCGTGCGTTTAGCAACCGTATTTGGCAACGCGAGACAATTGAAGTCGAGCGGATTAAATCATGTCGCCGTCGTCCTGAGACTCATCTCAGCAGGTCCTGCTTGGTGTCATGTCAAAGTGCCGTTTGTGAGTAATTAACGTCAGTTCTGAACGTGCGTGTCGGCAGCGTGGAGACATGAACACGCCGTTAGGCAGGAACGGGTTAATCGGGCTCGCTGTCGGAGCTACAGCCGGCTTGGGCTTGATTGCCTTCATCATTTACAAGGAGATGAGCAGGAGAAGATCCCAGAAGCTTGTGATGGAGGCCCGGCCAGCTCCCAGGCTTTTCGACGGGCCGGATGGAGCAACGCTGCTGAGGGAGACGCTGGATGCTGAGGGTGGGTTTGGCTCCGGAGGTTGGTTCTGCTGTGCCTGGCACCGACTCCAGCTGGTGATAAAGATGTGAGGCAGAGAGTGATGCTTGGCTCTAAATGCATAATGGCTTCTATTTAAAGCATCTTTTATTCGCTTCCAAAATGAAGCAGGTGCAGCATATGGCAGCTTCATAGAAATATTTAGAGGAAAATTTTTTTAATTTCATTGCAGTGAGGGCCAATCGCAGCTAATTGTGATCAGAGAAGAGACAAGCCTGCATTTCACTGGTAGTTTAAAGGGAATTTAATGTTACAGTTCTTTATTTTTTGCCTATTTTTGAAAGGCAGATTTCCTTCTTTGTCTCTCTAAAACTTATAGACCCTGCCAACATTTGAAATAATGTCCTAAAAAGCAGAACATGTGCATTCCCACGTAGTGTAGCTGTACACATGAGCTGTCCTTATCTTCTGACTGAGCCCTGCAAGAAACAGTCTGATCTAGCACCGTAGCTTTCTGCCTAAGTTTCAGGGTTTTTGTTTCACTTTTAGTTTGACTCCACTGCTGCGACCAGGTCCCCAGACAACCCCCACTTCCTGCCCCTCCGCTATTTTAAGCAGCAGATCTCTAAGACCATAGCTGGGAAGTTTCATCATTTTGGCAAGAAACTCATATAGAATACAACTGCTCTTCCTTCATTTTGACTACCCAGCATTGGTATGAAGGCATGTTGAACAGGAAGAAGATCCAAGATTTGTTTGAGGTGGTCTGTATTCCACCTGACCTTGAAACACTAGTTTGCGCCTTAGTATAGATGCATTAAAGAATGTGTATTAACATTCTTCCTCATGGCGATGTTTTGAGCATCTGAAAAAACGCATTTATACTCCAGACCAGTGTGTATTTTTTACTGATGACTCAAATACGTTTTGTCCGGCACCTAGAATACAAAACACTTCGGGAGCTGGATGCTGTTTATTTTGGGAGGTAGCTGGTTTTGCTGTGGGCTTGTAGCTGATCTACCGTTGGCCAGACCAGTCAGTGTTCTATTAGGAACTACTGTTAGCTATTTATGGTTTTATGTATGAGTTAGCCTTCGATAGACAGATGATTCATCCAGTCACCCACCAAGTATATATTAAAGTGCCTTTCCTTTTCTAAACAGTTCCTCAGAAGGTTCTGTGTAACAAACCAACTGGCACGTCAGGTTAGGAAGCGTAGGAAGGGAAAGGGCGTCAAAGCAGTTTTTCTAGCTTGTCGCCACTGTAATCTGGACCTTGAATTAGCAGGGTAAAATAGGCAGATGGCTGCATGAATATTCATGTTGGAGGGGCAGGAGATAGAGGTGTTCTGTCAATACTGACTAAACTGCAAACAAGTCCAAAACACATGGCTATTGTTTTATGTCTCCCTGTTTCTTCCTTCCAGAGATGGAGGCCGAGCAGCAGGCTCTGGCGGCAGTGGAGGCAGTGGTCCAGGGACTTTCCCCGGAGCAGCAGGTGGAGCTCAGGAATCAGCTGGACCAGGTGCTGAACTGCGTGGCCTCTCTGCGCTCAGAGGTGGCTGAGCTGAGGGGCGGCCTGCAGGACATTGCCCTGCAGATCATCCAGGATGTCAAGTGAGTGGGACTTGGGCGAGCCTCATAGGATCTGTACTTTAGCCCTACTAAATGATACCGCAAGGACAAAGTCTATTCAAATCTGTAATGTTTTACATTGAACCTATACTGTTTGCCTGAGAGGCTAAATTACAGTCAAATTTATATTGTGTTAGGTTAGCTTTATCGATCTGTTACATGTGTTTTTGGTAGTAACTCTTCACAGACATCTAAAAACACATAATATGACAAATTAAAATACGCAACAAACTGAAAATCCATAATCTTGGCATTGATGGGTGCTGAGTATTTCTGGTTATATACTGATCAATATGAAGTCTCTGAAAAACTTCCATCTTTGCAAAAAGTTTCTGTTCATCTAGTGTAGGTGAGATTTCCCATCTCAACTGAATACCGCATAAAATCATACTTTTGTTTTTGTTCCAAATAACAGTAACTTTACATCACAGTATCGAATAAGCATATTAATAACACAACATGTGATAACGTGTTGTAAACTACGCTATACAAATAAAATTGAATTGAATTGAACATACATGTAAAGTGGGATTGTTGGTGTTACTTGGCTGATGTTCCCCCTCCTGCACATTCAGGAAGGGAGTGGAGGACAGTCAGCGGGTACGTCGGAGGCGCCATTTTGTCCACAGAGAGCGCACCGACTCCACCAGCTCCAGCTCCATCTACTTCACTGCTAGCCAGGGCATGGCCAGCGCCTATGAAGAGACCAGTGAGGGAGGGTATGTCATGAGAGCACACTCACTTGTACATTTGATATTGTGTTTCACCTCATCTGTATTATACTACATAATGTACAGTGCATGATTGATGAGCAGTATGATTTCACAAAGCTGCACTGGGTAATAGCTTGTGGAAAATTTGGGATCCTTTATGCTCTGTCTCATTTGATCCATGGTTGCTTTAAACTGCATACCTGTAAAGCTCCAAAATCTTTTGTGTTATTTTGGGGGGGGAGGGTTACTGTTTTTTGTGGTTTATGGGGCAGAATAAGTGCATTGGTGGCAAAAAATATTCCTTCATTCTGAACAGAGGCAAGGAAATGCTCAGGTCAGGCAAAGATCCAAATGTGTGGCTTTGTAATAGGTGTCTTAACAAGGTTCCTCAGCTTATTTGGCTGCGAGACATGTATAGATGTTGAATAGTGCCGCATATCACTAATCTATAGCAGCTGACTGACAATCATTACTACCTAGAGGCTAGTACATGAGCTGTGTAGGTATGGGCATGTTGTCTTAGGTGCTGCAGAGACGATGTTACCCGAGTAGATGCCAGGTAATTGTATGGCATTTCATAGTATTACGAAGAAGGATTTTACTGCTCTGGAAAGTTACCATGACAACAAACATTTCCTCCTTTATTATGACAATCCAGATTAAAATTATAGAGACATGATGCTTCCTCGTGCTGCAGTGAGCATTGACTCAGGTTGAACGGTTTTGCCTGATAAAAAATTAGTTGTTGGCTTCAGCCCTCTGTATTGTCACCTCCACCGCTCTGCAGGGGTCACATTCAAAACTGAATGTTTGTTTACACAGTGCAAACACCTGTGTTGGTGCTGTAGCAGCCCATTTATGTTTAATGGCTTGAAGAACATCCAGGCGTATTTATATGGAAATTTAGGGGATTGTTCCCCTGAGACAAACATTTTTTAACTATATATATTTTTAATTTGCTTCTTGGGATGTAAGTCATGCCAATAGTTTTATCTTTACTTGTTTTGGCTTTGATTTTAGCACATAAATAAACACTAAATAGTTTAATAAAAATCACTTTCTACCTAAGAATAGGTTCCTGTAAAAACTACTAAAGTGTGTTCTCTTGTTAAATTTTTTTAATGTTATGAGAATCACACACTGAATTCTATTTACCTCCACTGTACAGGGTAGTGGCAGAAATATTTAATTCCAAAACTCCACAACACAAAACTAAAGTACAACTAATTATAAACTAATATAATATAGTAAACATTGTTATTAATTTTCAATACATGTCCCAGGTACTCTACGGCCTATGCTGAGTCAGACTACACCGATCGTGACACGGACAAGGAGGAGTGTGAGCGGGAGCCTGAACAAGAGTCTGAGGAAGAAGAGGACAAGAGCTGTGCCACGGTCCTCACCCTCCGCCAGGAAGACTCTCAAGAGGACGAGGTAGAGGAGAGAGGGCTGGAGGAGGAAGACGAGGAGGGCGAGGAGGAAAATGATGAGGGGAGGCTGCAGCTGGTGACGGAGGTTCCCAATGGGGAGCTGGCTCTCCTCCTGGCTCAGAGCGACATCCTCCACACAGGAGACGCCAGCTTAAAAGCAGAAGGGTTTCGGCTGCTGCTGGACAACAGAGCTGAGGTGAGTGACAGCACGCTAGGGTCGAAACTGTTAAGATCAACGACAGCCGTTTATACGGAAATCAGTAAGTGCTTCACAAAAAGCAAAATACACACGTACAACAATCAGCCATAACATTACTGAACAAGACTGATTATATCCTTACAGAAGCACCTGTCAAGGAGTGGGATATTTTAGGTAACAAGCAAACAGTCCGTTTTTAAAGTTGTGGTTTTGAAAGCAGGAAACATGGACAGCGTAAAGATCTGAGTGACTCTGACAAAAACCACATTCCGATTGTCTAGATTCCTCTGGACGTGGAAACAACAATATTGCACACATTAATGGTGCAGCACAGTTTCTTTCGTGAGTATAAATATAACATTGCACAGCTTTGATCTAAAATGCACAGATTTGTCTGTAGCCAGGAAAACACAGATATCGCACACATTCTTCAGATGAAGTCATTTAAGCCAGGTTACCACTTGCTTCTATTTTTACTTTGTTTTCCTGTGCAGGGCAGTTAAAATTTCAAGTGGTCACATTTTTGCAAGTGCATGATGATCATTAGACTGTATTAGTGTCACTGTAACCAGTGCAGGCAGCTACTGTGTTAACCACAGTGGTGGAAAGTAGGACTTTTATATAACCTCAGTGTACTGGGCTATTTACGCTTAAAAATTAGGTCTTTTTTGAGGTTTTATGAGGTTTGTTCGCTCAGAAAAGAGCACATGTAAAAAAAAAAAAAAAAATCTGTTTAATTTTGGACAAATCTGACATTAGAATGCCCTAGTTTACTCTTTTTAAAGTCATTTTTGGTTGCACACCTGTCTGAGCGCACCACAGACACAAACAGCATCTCCTACAATGTGAGGCGTTTAGGGAACATCGGCAAATTGTAGTGTCTGTTGATAAGAAAATGTTCAGCAAGTCATATGTTTTGCCTGTGACAAGGTGGGAGGTGCGACCAAATGAGAAAGTTGGTTGCACCGGTGCTACCAGTGAAAAAATTTGTCTGAAGCAAATATTCTTATGTAAAATAAGGCCTGACCCAAGATTGAGATATTGTACATGTAGTGAAAACCATGGCAGCCTCTGAATAACGATTAGCACATTTGTTGTGCCTGTAGGCGTCAGTAATGGACTGCTGAGCGCTGAAAGGTCACCAGGAAAACCAGAGGTTTTTGTAGTACAGTGGGATCAGTCATCAGGATTAAATATCCACAGTAATACAAACAGTCAAAATACTACATGTGTGATTGAGGTACTATGCAGTGTGTGATGCCTCTCCCACATAAGCAATCACAATCTGATTGGCAGGAATTCTAAGATGAGCAAAACTGGAGCATTTGTTATTGATTTTAGTATGTTTTAGTCACAGTAACATATGTATTTATGTCTTAAAGCTTTTGTCCTCATAGTTAACATGTTCACTGTGTCAGGTGTACAATACACAAAATCACACAGTAATTGTCTTTTAAAGCCAACACTATTTTCTTCAGATAGTTTGATTCGATGGTTGATGGTTTTCTATAGTAATAAAATAAAATGTTTCTGCTCTTTTTTTTACTTTCACCGCCATCATTTTCAGCAGTTTGTCAGTAGCAATAAACAGGCTAATCTAAGATACATCATGAGTTTCATGACTTGTGTGATGGGCAAGGTATTCTGATCATAGTAACATGTACTTACATAATGGACACTGACTGATGAATCATGTTTTTATGATTCTGGGTCTGCAGCATGGCGACAGCAGGGAGTTTCTGTGGCGCCTGGCTCGAGCCTACAGTGATATGTATGAATCCACTGAGGACAAACAAGAGAAGAAGACCTACGCACAGCAAGGTAATGGACACACACACACACAATAATTTTACCTACACAGAGGAATTATTTGTGCTAAAACAAAGGTAGAATAAGCTAGTCAGCGAAGGGTAAATAACAAATAAATCATACTCAAATGTACACATTTTTGCGAAACGTAATTGAACAAAAGGAGTCACATCTGGAACAGCTTTTAGGTTGAGCAGCACGACGATGCACATTGTACAGCTGCTTTCCTATTCAGCATAATTCCACATAATTATGGCTACAGAGTTGACCGGTGTAACCACTTTGTTTACTAAATGCCAGAAAATACTGAAAATGTCTGCTATAATTTCTCACAAACCAAGGTGACATCTTCAACTGGCTTGTTTTATCTGGCCAACAATCCAAAACACAAATATTCAGTTACATCTGACAAAAAAGAGAGCAAAATTGTCTTGTGCAAGGCAATGGCAAAATAATTGGCAATTAGTTTTCTGTTGAACTAACATTTGAATAATTGACCAATTGTAAGTGTTCTACATAGAAGTTCCTGCATATTCTCCAGTTCGTTCCATGTCTAGCAGGTTCTACTGGTTGCAGTGCTTCAATATGAAGACATTTTTAAAGTGATCCATTTGTCTAACAGAAAGGCTCAAACTGGATGAGGAGTCCAGACAGAAATCACAATGATTCCCATGTTGATGCATCATGCTAAAGCTGTTTACAGATGGTTGTAGACCACTATGACTTTATTTAAACAGATGGTGTTTGAAGTGACACCAACATCAGCAAATACGTGGTCTTCTCAACTTATTCTCTATTGTGATTTTACACAGAAATTTCACTTTAGTTGAGACATGATGCTGCAAATCATCACCCTGTTTAGCATTAAGCTAAACTTTAGTGCCAAGTACCAAAATCCCTTTTTCATTAAGATCTTCCACCTTTTAAAAAGTTGTGCATTGCACTGTACTTTACACTAAACACAGAACAAGACTGTGTCCTTGTATAAAGCTACTACCTCATTCATGAGCACTATACGAGATGTGTCAGAAACGTTTTAGGACTGGTGTCATAAAAGATACATTTCAAATCCAAACTCCAACTTTTCCTCTTCGAAGTAATCCCTCTGGAGTCTAACGCACTTTCCCAGCCTTCTCTGCCACGCCACCATGCACTCCTGGAAGGATTCTTCTGGGATCCTCCGCAGCTCCGTCATCACAGCCATCTTAATGTTGTCCACGTCTTGATGACCCCTTGAGCTTGGGGAAGAGGAAAAAATCCCATGGAGTCAGGTGGGGTGAGTAGGGAGGTTGCTACAGCATGGTGATGCTCTTCTCAGCCAGGAACTATCGATGCTCAGGGCATTGTGAGCAGATGCGTTGTCATGGTGAAGCAGCCACAACTCTCGCCTCTTCTCGCACACTGAACGAAGCAAACGTTGCAGGATCTCTTTGTAGACGTGCTGGTTGATCGTCTGAAGGGGAACACTTGTAGTTTGGGTTTGAAATATATCTTTTGTGACACCAGTCCTGGAACTTTTCTGACACACCTCTTAAGCTAATTTGGCCTTTCGTACTGTCGTTAACCTGTGCACTGGTGTTGCAGGTCGAGAGGAGGCGGAACTGGCCCTGAAGAAGAACGGCCTGAACGCCGAGTGTCACAAATGGTAAAATGGTGAACTCAGCAGACTCTGAACTTTCATCTAACATTGGAGATTTGTAATCTTCCCTGACACCTCTCCTATCAGTGATCATTTGTTTTGCATGTCACGATTATACTTTTTCCAGGTTCGCTGTGCTGACAGGACTCACCTCCCAGCATGAGAGCATGCATGGCAAACTGAAGAGTAGTCACATACTGAAGGTAACACAGCCACACTTGGTTTATGGCAGCATTCTGGGTATTTAGCAAGTTGGGTTTATTCTAATCATCAGTGTTTTAACTTTTTTTGTTTCCACAACCAGGAGCATCTGGAAAGAGCAATTGCCCTCCGAGACGACGACCCCATGTGTTTCTATCTGCTCGGCAGATGGTGCTACGAGGTGAGACAAGGGGTTAAATTTTCTCGCTGTTGACTCTCAGATGCAGATTTTGTCGTCCAAATATCGGCACTGTCCAGATGTTTCAGTGGCATACATGTGTGTCTGCAGGTAGCCACCCTGGACTGGTTGGAGAAAAAGGCAGCCGCCGCCCTCTACCAGAGTCCCGTCACCTCCACGCTGCACGATGCCCTTGAGAACTTCCTCAAGGTACGACTTCCCACAGACGCTTACTGATACAATACAGACATTCAGATCTACGCAGCGGTCTTAATGAGACAGTTTGCTCAGCTCTCTGGTAGAAAGAAGAAACTCCAGCTAAAGCGAGCTCTCCCCATGTTACAGTCTTGTATCTGTCTCCGATGGCAGTAGAGAGGATGGAGAAGGGATCCATGTGTGATAACATGGTGTTTGGTTTAAAACACTCACTAGCCAGGGTGCTTAACCACAGTGCTTTGAGATTTTTCTTTTTGCATTGTGTTCAGTACATCTTTATCCTCAGTGGACTAAACTGATATACAAGTGTAAAACAGATAAATCAGTCTTGTGTATTGGCAAACTTGCAGGCAGAAGAACTGAGTCCAGGTTTCTCCAGGACTGTGAGACTGTACATCGCAAAGGTAAACAGTCAGTGTGCTCTTTGATTTATTAGAACTGTAAAGTTACAATTTTTGTGTTAAGTGTACAGCTTGTCCTTTTACTGTCTTGTCATCAGTATGCTGCAACTGTCAGGATTATAAAACTAAACATCAATCTGTTGTTGCTTGTAGTGTCACAAGGAGCTGGGAAACATCTCTGAGGCCACAAACTGGACTGAGCTGGCCTTCAAAATGCCCACAAACGCTAATGATGTAAGAGAACACTTCCATTTAAAATACATGATATTCACGATAAGCAAATGCAAATGTTTCAGTTTGTAGCTAAAAGCATTAAAAGCTGCTTACAGAGCTCAGTGCTGTTATGAATTTCTCTTATGCTGTGAAAGAGCGTCAGAATTTACACGTATATTGCCTTTTTTCTCTTTTAAGGATGATGAAACACATAAACTCGAGGCTCAGCTCCGAGTTTTAACCGACAGAAAAATCTGAACAGGTAATTTCTACTGACATCGAAGCAGACGAGCTGTTTAGCTGACAAACTGATTGGCTACTCAGGACACCAATCAGACGCGCTCTGCAGAAAACGCTCTTTCCCTTCATTGGTTGGATGTGTTTGTCATACTGTCACTGTGAAATGATATGGAGTTTATTGATGTTTATTTATTTTCTGCAAACTTTATATATGAATTATGTAGAAACATATTGTATCTAATATATTTAATGTTTTTTTTTTTTAAAACAATTTGTTTGCCTTTTTAAACAGATAATCCGTGATAAAATAAAGCAGGTTTTATTTGCCAGCACCTTTATCTTAATTCAGCCGCTACTTAAAGGATTAATTCACTCAAATGACAACAATTTCCCTGCAGTGTAGTTTTGGTTTGATTTATCCTAATCTAAGAAACAACTGGCTTAAAACCTAGAGAAATAAAACCACTGCAGGGAAAACCATTTCAATTATTTTCAGTGTTTCTTTTTTTTTTTTGTCTGATTTCATGGTTCCTTAGAGCAGCAGTGGGTTCCAATTAATTTGACTCAAATCTGCTATTGCAGGGTAAACAGCTGGTAATCCAGTTTGATCAGGGACGTTTAAAGAGCTTTAAGGGAAGGAGGGACGTCTGAATTGGCACTGCTAATTATTCTAATGTACTTTCCTCTAAATGAATTAAAAGTAGTCCTGCTTATTTGTAGTGTAAACCCTTTTTTCTCTGATACTGTCATGCTGGGTCCATCTCAGTTGCTCTTTGATAGATGTTTGTTTTGTGATGATAGATGATTTATGTAGCTACAGCGAGGACACTGGAGGATTTTGATCAGAACATTAAGTCTGTAAACTCTTCTCAGTTCTCTCCACCTTCAAATCTTACAGAGTTCCTAGCAGATTTTGTAGTTTAAAGTGACTGTATGGGACCACAGAAGTAAAATGAAGTGCATGGAGCTCTCTTGTTTGGTTGTGACTGTAAAAAGTCTCCTAATATTTTTGTGCCCCCCTTTCTATTTTTTCTTTGCTGCCTTTGAAACTTTGAGTATTTTTACATTCCTTAAGGTTATCGCGCTGTGATCTAACACTACAACTTTGCACTTTGAGTTCTTTCTTTTTAATTTATTCTTTTTGATTTATCTGCTGTGAGGTACCAGTGGATGTCACAGTGATGAAGATGTCATTTCCTCAGCACTGTGATGCCACAATGAAAAGTAAATATACACTTAAGTTAAATGCAGATAACATTTAATAAAATTATTTTTTCGCATTTATGTCTTGTGAATTTTCTTTCCCTCCTCAATAATGGCTGACAGTATATAAAGTCCTGTGTTGAAATGAAAACGGCCATTTTAATGGTAAAACACATTTAATTTAGCTATGAAGTGTATGTACAGAGGGTTCGAGTAAACAGAAAAAGAAAAGGGACATAACAGTAGTTGTGCAGCTGGCAAGCGATAACATTCCTTTCTTTAACTACATTACAGTGCAGCTTTGTTCCTTTTAGCTGCATTCTCTGCAAAGCACTTCTTATTAAACGTACAAAATCAAAGATGCCATGAAGCAGAAACTCTTAACACAGAGACAACAAAAAATATCTCACAAACTATTTTAAATATTTTTTACAAAATGATTATTTTCTCCACTCCATGGATGAAATTACAGAACTACATTGCATTTAACAAAAAGAAAAGCTCTAATTATGACCTAATGTATCATAATTATGAGATCTTCAGTTATTTTCTTTCTTTTTTGTATTTATACAATAAAGATCTCATTACTATAATATGTGGTAAAGGTCATATTATATTTTTGTATTAATGAGATACTGATCATGTAATTATGCAATAAATGTATTGTTCAATTTAGATTTTTGGGTACTGAGGTCATGCATCTAATTACATGATCAAGATGTCATTATTTTGTAATTCTGGAGATACTAAATCACAAATATGAGCCAGTATCTCATAACAGCAGAGACAAATCTTGTAATTGCATGACGTGTCTCTTTTTTCCTTTGTTGAATACAATGTGCTTCGATATGAAAGAGCTACAGAGAACATCACTGCCACCTTGCTGTTGCTCCACTGAGCTCCTGAAGATCAGTCTCATCACCTTACAGGGTTAACCGGCATGAAACCATCAAATCACGCAGCCCTTGACCTCCATCTCACATCAGTGTGAGGCTTTATGTGAAGGCAGAAGAACGACACACACGTACACAACCCTGCAGTTAAAGACACAAGTTCAGCAGGTGTGAGAGTAACATTTACCACGACTCTGCTGCTTTCCTGCTGCCACTTCAGTCCTTGGCATCGCCCACTCCGTCAGCGTTAATGGCGAACATGGCTTCGGCCTCTGGCAAGCAGGGCGAGTCGTAGATTTTACAGATCCTTGTCTCTCCGCGGCCCTTCCTCAGGTAGAGACTGCAAAGGAGACAAGACTAGTTTTAATGACAGCGTTAACCCAGAATGATGGAAGTATGGTGTTAGCATGAATAGCAACACACCGTGTGGTGGAGGCGTGAGCCATGATGTTGCCACCGATTGGTTTCTTAGGATCTGCAGAAAACATGGCTGCCCCATCCACCTGTGCCACCACTTGGTTGGTTATCACCACGGCAACACCAAACTGTTTTGGCAGAGACAGTCAGACAAAACACTCATGGTAGAGTCCCTGTTTACATTTGACTTCTAAATGAGTTTCAGGAAATCAGATCACAAGTGAACAATATTAAATACAAGTTTGAACAAGCACTGCAACACATTGTGATGTGATCACTAAATCACTTTCTGAGGTGGTTTGGGACATATCTGACCACATGCTAAAGCACTCTGACACTCTGATACTCTGAAAGCAGGACTTGGCTCAGAAAAGGACAGGAAGCATCATCAGTGCACGCACAGTAAATGCAATGAATCTGTGATACCTTTGACAGAAATCTTTGTAATTTCCAGTTATTTCTGACAATTTAGGTAAACAAAAATGTAAAAAGTGAAGACTATCTTCCCTTCCATTTTCAACTCTAGAGTCCCTCTCAGGAGGCTGATTGTAAGCTCAGTGGCCATTACTTTTCCCACCTTCCTCACTAACATTTAACTTGTCTGAATAGAGAATTAGACAATAGGTAGTTTCAGAGAGTCCTGCTGCCCACCTCGTCTGCCAGCCTGAGCAGCATGCGGAGGAAACGTCCCAGGTGTCCCTGTCTGGCCGACAGCTCTCCTCTGCCTGAGTAGTCAGTTCTGTACAGAGCTGTGGCACTGTCCACTATCAGCAGAGCATACCTGATAGAGAGAGAGTGTGTGTTAGCTGCAAGGATCCCAAAGAAATCACAATAAAAGACAAAACACCTAAGCAGCATCCTTCACTTAGCTCTGCCTACAATGAGTGGCTTGTTTGTATTGCTTTAAATTAGGGCCCGACCGATTTGTCAACTGGCAACTTAAATCGGCCGATTATAGCCCTTTTCAAAATAATCATCATTGGCCAAAAAAAAAAAACAAAAAAAAACGGCAGGAGATATCCATGCTAATGCTGTCGGACTCCAATTATGATCACCCTGTCCCAGTGGGACGTGAGCCAGTGTGAACTCTGCGTGGAGTTTGCATTTTCTCCCGGTGCAGTGTAGGTTCTCTCCAGGTTCTCCGGCTTCCTCCCACACAGTCCAAAAATATGTTGAGGTTAATTGGTGATTCTAAATTGTCCATAGGTGTGAATGTGAGTGTGCTTGGTTGTAGCCCTGTGATAGACTGACAACCTGTCCAAGGTGTCCTCTGCCTTCACCCTAAGTCAGCTGGGATAGGCTCCAGCCCCCTTCGACCCTAGTGAGGATTAAGCGGTGTATAGATAATGCATGGATTGATATTGTTAATATAATTCATTAGATAAATTTGTCATTTCCTAAATTTGTATTTGAGTTTGCTGAAATGCCCTTTACTGTGTTAATAAATAAAGAAATGAATAATATCTTGTCATATTCATCGTTAAATATCTGGAGCCCAGATATTGCTATATGGACCAGCCCTAGATGTTACTTAAAATTAATTAAGCAGCCCACATATACTCCTGATCAAAATCTTAAGACCAATTAAAAAATTGCATGAATTTGCATTTTGCACTGTTGGATCTTAGGAAGGTTCTAAGTAGAGCTTCAAAATGCAAAAAGAAGAAATGGAAACAAGAGACCAAAAGTTGTGAGCAGGCAATTTATTGAAAACAACAATTTAACTCAAATAGGCTGTTCATCAGCTGATGAGCTTTTTGCATTTTTGAAGCTCTACCTAGAACCTTCCTAAGATCCAACAGTGCAAAATGCAAATTCATGCAATTTTTTAACTGGTCTTAAGATTTTGATCAGGAGTGTAAATATCGGTATTGATTGATATCAGAATCGGAAATTGAGAGTTGGACAATATCGGCATATCGGATATTTGCAAAAAAGCCAATATCGGACATCCCTAGTTATCAGAATTTTTTTTTGCCAAATATCGGAATCGGCATCAGCCTCAAAAAATCCATATTGGTCAGGCCCTACTTTAAATCAAACAGAGTTTTTCCCCTGTATCACTATGATAGTGTGTGCAGCCAGACCATTATCTACAACACAATGGGCTGGCAAAGTGAAACTCATATGGCTGTGACTGACCTGGACTCGGCCATCATGGCAGAAGCTTGATACAGCAGCTGAGTCTGATGATCTGTATTGAAGGCTCGGGCGTAGGCCACGTTGTCCAGAACATCACTGCCCACCAACCCATACCTGACAGAGAGGTGGAAGACGCATGAAGGTGAAAATAAAAATAATAATAAAAAAATAAACAAACTGAGAATAAACAAATATATATAAAAACAAATGAATAAGGAAATAAACAAATAAATGTCAAGCTGTGTACACCTGAGTTCCCCCCCAGCACAAGCAGAACAGACAGCTAGTGGATGTGAGAGGAGATATTCACTGAATCTGATGAATGCCTAATGGATTAGAATTGAATATTCCAGCTTCAAATGTATTTATCAGTTTTTCATTCACATCTAATTTATTGAATGCTATTTTCTTTGTCTCTGTTGAACCTCCACATGCTGAGTGCTGAAAACAAACCCCCATGCATCAAAGCTGGATGCATGGGGGTGCAGACTAACCTTTCAGCTACGGCCAGGAGTCTCTCCGGTCTGAAGGTTCCCTCTGTGTCGATGTACATGGCTTTACCTTCTCCCCCTCCCTGATCAATAGGCAGCTGTGGACAGAAGAACAGCAGAGTCACCTCTTTAAAAATATCAGTTACTTAAATGTTTCTATTTATCAGCAAAACAGACTTTTTAAGTGTTTCTACAGTTTTTGTTGCTCTCCATTTGTGGTCTTCTATACTACAGCTGATCTGCATCCTACTGTATTGATTTAAATTGCTTCAGTTCTGTTTACACAACTTTTCCTGACACCACTGAGGCTTTATTAGCAAACTCTACCTGACAGGTGACAGCAAGTGTGTGACACAGCTGGGTCTTCCCCGTCCGAAATTCTCCAAACATCTCTGTGATGGAGCCTGTCTCAATGCCACCTGCAGGAGAGCACAACATCAAATTAAAAACAAACTTATTGCTCTTCCACCCTTCAGCAGCTCCTTGGCTCTGATAGTCAGGTTGAATTTCTGGATGATGCGTAAGTATTTCGAGACAGACCTTGCAGGAGTTTGTCCAGCTCCTTGGAGCCCGTAGAGACCTGGATGATTTCTGCTCTCCTCTGGTGGAACTCAGTGGCTGTGGTGAAGCCCATAGGCACCAGTTTGGCAGCTTCAGTCTGAGAAGGAAAGAAGAATTACAGCATAAAACCACAGGTGCCATAAAATTGCAAAATACAGAACATTAGCGATAGGAAAACCTGACAAAGCACAGTGAGTAGAGGCCGACAAGTAAACTGGTTGGGTTGATATATTAGCTTATGATGGCTGGTTTATGTTGACTGGAAAATAATGGAATAAGACACTGAATAAGACAAGTGATGTTTCTTACTAGAATTTTGTCAGCTTTGGCCTCACTGATGCCCTTGATGTTGAGCAGCTCCTTCTTGGGTGCGTAGGCCACCGCTTCGATGGTGTGGAACCCTGCATCCTCCAGCTTCTTGATGTCACTGGCGCTGATTCCACATTGCTGCATATTGAAAGATTAGAGGAAGAGAAACCAGAGGATAAATTTAGCGGGAGATTAAAAAAAAAAAGACTGCTATTTGTGTTTGCATTGTCATGCTTCTACACTCAGGATACACACCTCCAGTCTACACAGGGGCTGTGGCCCAAAGTTTTCTTCCTCTTCTACCTCTGCCTCCACTCTGGCCTCGCTTCTCATCGCCATGGTCTGAGTAAGAAAACCTAATCAGAACAGAGGGAGAAGGAAGGCAACCAAACTGTAAGACTGTTTAACAGACAGGTGTTACTATGGCTGATAGAGCTGATGTGGAAGAGCAGAGGGATCATGTCAATACATGTTGCTTGGTTTCCTCTTCCCGTCCTATAATGCCAGTCTGACAATACGTTAAATAGCCTGCTCGTTTTCCGATTTACAAATATCAAAGCCATCTAAGGTGACATTATTAAGTTTCTAGCACACAAACTTAGTATTGATTTGGAGACACACAACATCAACACACGCTGCCAATGTGGGAAACTTTAGCAACATCCTAGTAAGTCAGCATGCTAACGCTAATAATACCGTTTGCTAATAACTTAATGTGAGCGAAGAAGCTAAACCGTTAGCTTCACAGCAGTTATAACTTGTGTTCTAAAACAGTTTGTTTAAGGCATAATTAGCATATTAAACTCAAGATGTTAGCTTAGCACTAGCGCCGTTCTCGCACCAGTTTGCTAAATTCCAGCCGTGGCGCTTGTTTCCTCGCTGGCATGGCAACGCTGCTCGATTTAAAAAGGAAAGAGTGAAGTTCGGTACAAGTCGATGCTAGCGTCTTACCTTTGTATTTCCCGTAAAAATGGATATTTAGTCCGACAAACTTGCACGTTTTTACCTGCCAGCTGCTTCTTGTTTCCCTCAAACTCCGCTGTTTGATAACCAAACCTCCCGCGCGCAAAGTACAGACGTCGTACGTAATGACGTACAGTCAGGAACGTTCTCATTGGTCACATCACAAAAACAGGGGCTGATCTGTCTCTTCAAAGTAAAAGCTTAAAACTGACTGAAAATCCTTACTCGAAGTCATTTTTAATCAGACAATGTTGTATGCGTTTTAAATGGGTATTTGTATGCTATATATGATTTATTTAGATTCCAAATATATTAATTTGTCTGTTTATTTTGATTATTATTATTAATGATAATAATAATAATAAATGTATTTTATTTTGTTTATTTTTTAAATTGAATTTCCCTTCTTGGATAAATAAAGTATTTTTCATTTCATTAATTTCATTATCTGGTGCAGCTTGGCAGGCAAGAGGAGCATCTACTGGACTGTTTTTTTTTTTCATTTTAATTCAGTCTAAGTGCAGCATCAGTGACTATGGTTATCTTCTGTTTCTGCGTCCTTGCCATTTTTACATAAACACAAACACTGGACAATGCACTCATTTTAGCCTGCATCCAATACATTCCATGATTAATAATAAACTTTTTGATTTCAAAATTCTCTCTCATAAAAGAGAAATGACAAAACCACAAATATCCACTTCAGTACAGTATGGGGGTGTCAGTCATGAAGACTCTCTCTCAATGCTGGTATTATGCCAAAAATAGTGCTGCAGATTTTCAAGGTTACAGGATTTCTATGGGGGAACGACCGTTTGCTCAGATGAAGTCCAAAGGGTACTTTGGATTGTTGTTGCTTTAAATTTGTAAGGTCTGTACCTTACTTTGTTAAGCAATGTGTGATAACATGTGTTGTAAACTACGCTATACAAATAAAATTGAATTGATTTGAAAAGCTAAGGTACAACATGTCCCTCGCAGATTTGCCTCATTGAGAAGTGGTCAGTGGACTGAAATGTGAATGAAACACCAGAGTCACTTTAAATGACATTATTAAAGGAAGCTTTATTTCAACTGCAAGAAAATCTAAAAAGACATTTTAAAATATTGCACATAGAGAACATGTTTACTGGGTTTTACACATCTCCTCTTGTTTAGGAGACTGAGGCCACCACTCCTCCTTTTTGTTTGCACCCATAGCTGCATCTGCAACACACAAGACATTTATGAGACAAATGAAAACTCAAGTAACACTTGAACCTAAAACCATTAATCTGACTTCATAAAAGGTGTTCAGGTTCCCTGTGCAGTTCTTGACCTCCAGTAGCACTGTGGATCTCCACATTGTTTATCTCATGTGTGTCAAAGCTGGTGATGTGATACATGGTCCTCCCAGTGGTGTCACATTATTCTACTTATATACAGGGGGCAGTAACATGCAAAGATCTGCAGCAATATGCCAACAAAACCAGAGGAGACCTCAAGCGAGTAACCAAGATGCAAGCCAATTTCAACTCCTTATCTATATATCAATATATATAAATGGGTTGAACAAAATACATTTTACCCTGTTTTAGAGTAATTTTCCAGCATTTTTATTTTAAGTCAACAGCACCACAGCCAGCGTTAAAACAGCTGAACTTGCTCAGTCTCAGTAAAACGTCAACATTAAAACCTTCATGAAGGCAGTTGATCACTGCATTAGTTTTAGCTGCGTACTGAAAACTGAGCGTGGTGTCTCATAATGTTGACCTATCTAATGATAGCTTGGTTTTAAATTAAAAACTAATTTTAAATCCAGTATACTTTTCCAGTGGCGGCTGGTTAATACAGGGCGCAGGGGATCAGCAAGTCATATGTTTTGCCTTTGACCAGGTGGGAGGTGCAACAAAATGAGAAAGTGGGTCATATTGGTGCTGCCAGCGAAAAAGTTGGTCTGGAGCACTGAATAGTGTTTTTTTTTTTTTTTCATTATTTATGTTGTGTGTTTTGAGTTTGTACAGATCCCGTAAATACTGGTAAAAGTTTTATGAATGGTTTTGAAATTTAGTTCTGGTAAGTCTTGATAATGTTAAATTAGATTATGATTAGAATATCCTCCAAAGGTAGACAATTTGCATTCTTGTAAATAGTTGTGCCTGATGCTTTTCATAATCAAATTTCAGATTTTTTATTTATTTATTTATTTTTTTAAAAAAGGTCACTTGCAGACTGCGCCCCCCCGCCAAAAATTTTCACCAGCCACCACCTGCTTTTATCCTATACCACTACTTACTGATTTTTTTTGTAACTTCATGTGGTAAATGAGAATCCATATTGCGAGTTTTCATGTTTCAAGAAACAGTCAGTCTGTACAAAATCCTGGTATTTAAATGAAAGCTCAATTAGTGGAAAAAAAAAAAGGGGGGGGGTTGATAATTAATTAATCAGTTGAGGGAGGTGGTGCTTCGGTGCCGATTCATGTTTTAAGGCTCAGAGAAGATTTGTGAAATCCCATCAACCCGTGCTTCTGTTAGTAAGCCCTTTGTGATACACAGACATAACAGCTGTTACCCTCTTCTGCATCTGCTGGGTCAGGAACATAGGAAACCTCTGGCAAAACAAACAGTCCATGTGCTTATGACACTAAGAAACTTTAGAGGAGAGGGGCAGTTATGCTACAGTAAAACACAGTTCAACTTTAGGTGCAGCTTACCTGGAATGGTTCCAAGGCTGGAATTATCGAAGAACTGCTTGGGGCAGGTTCTGGACAGCAGCTCTGAGCTTCCACCCATGTCAAAGAATCCGCTTTTAGGAGAGTCGAGCAGAGAGACCTTTGGGGAGTCCAGCAGCTTTCTGGGAGACTCCAACACCTTCCTGGGAGAGTCCAGGATCTTCTTGGGAGTAACCAGAAACTTTTTAGGAGAGCTGAAGACATTGGAGGAGTCTGACGTCATGGGAAATGCTCTCTTGGTGGGAGTGCAGGGGGATGAAGGTTTGTCCACCTCAGCTTTGCTCTTCACCTTCAGCTTGATGGCTCTGCTCTTCCACTTGTTGATCTCTGCGTGCTGACTGGACACCAAGCTGGTGAGACGATGGAGACAGAGGTCAGAGCAGGATTAACGGACGCAGCATGCCACGAGAACTGTCCGAACGCCAAAGCCCATCAACCTGTTAATGTCTTTTTTTTTCTTTTTTAAATCAACCGTTTTGTGTCACAAGGTCGTAACTAAATCTGATGAGGTTTGTGCTGACCTGACAGATCTGAATGATTTGTGTGTTATCAGAGTGAGCAATTTTCAAATTGTCTTTACTTCAATGAAGATCATATGACTCTTACTCATGAAAACCAGCTAATTTCAAAGGGTTCACATCCATTTTCTTGCCAAAGTTGAAATAAAACACAGAATCTTGAATCCGTTACCTCTCCAGCTCGATGATTTTCAGTCTAAGCTCTTTGACTTCCTCCTCCAGCTTTATCTTCTCCAGCTGGATGCTGCTCTTGATCACCAAACCTCTGGGGTTGGTCAGTCTTGCATGAAGCTCTTTACCCTGCAGGACTGATTTCAGCATAAAAATATTAGTTTTATTCTCTATCTGAACATTTTCCTGTTTAAAATGGGTGACAAGTCCACTTTCAAGCAGCATTAATGGACAAACATCCCTCCAGCTGTCGGATATCACCTCAAAACTGCCTTTAACTTACCTTTTCTGGGTTGATTTGCTCTTTTAATATTTATTACTTCTGATCACTTAAGCGTTCATCTTAATAGATGTTTATGTTATTCATTATGCTTTTGATGTTGCTTACCTTAAACAAGATGTCGAAGCTTTAAACTCTGCTATGATGACATCTATACCAGTATATTTAAAATCATAGTTGCTAAATTTGGATTCAGTTAATGATTGCTGTCAGTTTTAAACTAATATATTCTGATTGATTTGTGATTTTAAGATTTTATGTCTCATAAATGGTTATTTAGCTCACATATCATGTACTATGAAATGATGGTGAGATTTGTGCTTGATATTGACATACTCCATCATGCCTGCTGAACTATAATTTTATGATTACCTCATTATCTGAGCTGTATATCCTCCCTACTTGTACAGATATTTTTATAGATAAATCAGCTGCTGTTTTGAGATATATCCTGAGCCAAAGCCTACACTGTGCTTAGAAATCCAATTATATATAACTGAACTTTATAAATACTTTGTCGTATTTGTTAATTTGACTAATTAAAGGTTCATTTTTTTCTTCTATTTTTTGATCTGAGTCCTTAATCTACATTTAGTCTTACTTATGCTCCCTTTGTTTCCGCTTGGTTTCTTATTGTGTCCATAGGTTCTTGTCCTTTTTTCTCTCTGAGGTCAAGATTATAAAAATATGGGGAAAATGTGACATAATATTTTCTTGTAATCTGATTCCAATATAAAAATCGATATCATAATCCTGCACTAAACCTGAACTCCAACAACTCAGTGTTACCCCCCGACAATAACCACTTTACACAAATATATATACACAATTTGATAAGATTAAAAAGCAAAAAAACACATGTACACAGCTGTCTTACATGATTCTTCTCCTTGCTGTTGTGATCTCCTTAAAGTCTCCTTCAGCTTCCTCAGTGAGTTTTCTTTTTCATTCAACAGTGTGGTCATCCTCTTGATCCTGAGAGGGACAGAACTCTGGTCAGAATATCTGGTCACGAAATTGATAAAATAATCCTCGTTGCATTTTTCCGACCCACAGAAAGAAAAGAAAAAAAAAAACAGGACAGCTAGGGAGGCTACTCTTCAAGTTTATTCTGCCATATAACTGAACCAGACTCTCAGTAGGCCTCATTTCATTTCTAACATGATCACCTCTGGCCAACACATTTTTGAAAGCTTGAAAACCACAGAAGAATAAACTGTGTTGGAATGAATCTGAAGGGCTCTTACTTTTGTTGGTGCTCAACTGATGCTGAACTGAGCTTCACCTCCATTTTCACCAGTTTGGCCTCAAGTTTTTCCATTTCGACTTCAGTGGGTGATGCTTTTTTCTGAACGAGAAAAAGACATAGAAGAAGAAAAAGAATAGAAAAATACTTTATTTATCCCAGTCTGGGAAATTCCTGAGCTGTTGAGCCAAAATTGTAACTTTTTAAAAACAAACAGAAAAAAAAACAGCTGTAGATCAGCGCTGTCAGCTCTAACACTCTGTTACAATGGTATTAAAATGAAATCTTTAGACAAACCTCAGACTCCCGTAATTTGCTTTTAAGGGTTTGTATTGTGCTTTCTGTCTCCTCCACTATGGCACGGCTGTCCTGTAGTTCAGTCTGCAGGAGCTGGGTAGCTTGTTTATGGGTGGACACCCTGTTGTTGGCTTTGATCTGAGCATCTTCCAGCTGCTCATTTTTTGCATGCAGAGTCTAAAAAACAACATAATATGTCACCATTTGCTAATGGGAAGGTTTCTCAGCTAGCCCACAGCCAACTCAACTGCTATAGACGAGGATGGGTTTGTGATGGAAACCAAAGCTAGTGACGTGTACTAGGTAAGCTACATTTTCCCAGTTCTCAGGACTTTCTGACTTCCCTACTTTCACTGTAGATCTAGGACACGAGCCTATGGGTACCAACTGAAGACGTACCGTACAAAAACACAAAGCACATTTGTTTAGAAGCACTATGGGGCAGTTCCAGCAGCAGATTAATCCACATTTGGTGCTCTGCATTTCTTGTATCTGGTCTGTGAGATTACGTCCAAATAAACTACAGTGTATATGCTAATGTTAATGTAAGAAACATGTTGCCCAGTGCTCACTGATGATTTTTAAATTGGTTTTGAACAGCAACAAAATTCAAAAAGAGATATCGGTGCTGTAGAAGAAAGCACTTCTGAGACAAAGACAAATATGAAACATAAATGGCAGACATACTTTGACTTCGTCTTCTGCTTGCTGCAGCAGCAGAACAAGTTGCTGGTTGTCCTTCAGCAAGGAGAGCTCTGTTTTCAGATGAGTTCCCTCCAGTGCCTGCAGCAGAGTGGAACTTTTGCTTTTCTCCTCTCTCATCTGAGAATCAGTCTGAGCCTCCAGCTGCTTCAGCTCTTCAAACAGACTGTTCTGCTCATCATTGATTCCCTACAAGAGGTAGGTGGAAAGAAAAGATTGAAGAGACAAGAACAATGCATTAAATATATTATGGAAAACAATGACAATTTGCTGTAAATGTGGTTTAAATCCTATTGACAAAACACAGCAAAAAATCTTGACCTTTAGACACAAGAGGAAAATATTTAATTCCCTTTTATATCTTTAGAGTCAGACAGATCCTGCTACCCAACAGAGAAAACAGAACATCCTTGGGGGAGGTAATTAGAGAATCCTGCGTTAATTACTACCTGCAGAAGCATCTTCCAGCTTTGTGTCACTGCAGATCTGCGGTCCAGCTCTTGGTTCAGGATGTCGTCCAGCCCGCTGAAGCTAACTGGCTGGTTGGTCATCAGTGTCTGCAGCTGCTCCTTGAACTTCTCTCTCTCCTGGATCTCAGCTGTCCGCTTACTGAGGTGGGAAGCCATGTTGGCCCCGAGCTTCTCCAAAATGCTGGTCATTTTCTATAAACCCAGTACAGTCATCATAAAGTTTCAATACAGTGGTGATGGAGAGATGCATCTATACTGAGAAATATAATCACAAAAAATCCAGTCATTATAAATAATGTTAACACCAACAGGCCTAAGGTCTATTTGAGTGCAGAACATTATCAGTAATTTCCCAGACTGGGATAAATAAAGTATTTTTCTATTCTATCTTAAATTTCAAAAAAAAAAGAAAAAAAAGAAAAAAGGGCTGTTGCAATAGCAACTACAAGTTGCTACTGCTATTCTTTTGAGTTCCATTTTTGTGGCAATATTACACTTTGACATAGTGTCACTGTAACAAAATATACTAAATTATGCGTTCCTGTCTGTAATGTATCAGTGATTCTAAAGTTTAAATTTGCTATCATTTAATTAAGTGTGGTGCAAGTTCTGAAAAGCCTTTATGGACATTTACTTTCGAACATCGTAGATGATAACCACTAGTAAGTAGAAGTTTAAGTGGCACTCAATGATAGCAGTGTGCTGAGGAATAGGTTTGTGACGTGAATACAGTTATAATAGATTATTTTTGCCTCTTTTCCACTCTCAGAACACGACTGTCTACCGCAGACTATATTCTTTATTTTAAATTGATTAAAATTCTTACAAATGATTAATCAGATTATAGAGTAGCACAATAAAAAATGTACACTCCACACAAATATTCATCTTGTCTAAATGGGTCTTTAAAGAGAACTCGCCCGCAGGTAAAGCTGCCTCTTGTCCAGCAGCTCAGGCAGCCTGTGTTCCCGTAGCGTGTGGTCCTCGTCTTTCACAGAGTAGGTGGGCGCCTGTGCTCTGCACAGCAGCATGTCCTGCACCTGCCTCTCCTCAAACACGGCCAAATCTTTATTCACTAATTCCTCAAACATTTTCCTGTAGCCCTGTGCTCGCACATATAGTTGCTCCTGGGGAAGCAAAGAGAAGGAGTTTTAAGGTAAATATTAATGAAAATGAATACGGAATAACATTTAAAAAGGAAAAAAAAAAGACTGATATTTACTTGAGTTTTTATTAGACTCTGGACAGTTGCCAGTCCCTGCTGACGGACAGCAGCATACGTATGCATGGTGGGTCTTGGCAGAGAAGTCAGGGAAGACTTCAGGTAACACTGCACTCCCAGGGCTTTGTCCAGGGCTGCAAAGTTATACTTACAAGTGTCGATAAAGTGCTGGAATTTTCCAAAGGACTCCTACAATGAAACAAATTCACTGGTATCAGAGCAAGAAAGAAAGAAAGAAAGAAAGAAAATTTGGTATTACCTGTAGTTGTTCAGTGGAGTTCTGCAGCCGTGATGACATCGTCTCCTTGACTTCACTGGTGCTTTGCTCTGAGGCGCTGAACTGCTCTTTGAGGGCCGCGATGGTTGCGTTTGCTTTACTGAGCAGCTGAAAGAAAAAAGCAAAATAAAACTTCTAACATATTCATCGTCATGCAGATGATAGTCTTTTATACAGTTTGCTTGTTCTTTTCTGCAGAAGCTTTAATTTCTTTTGAATACTGATAAAACAGAATGTGTTTTATTCTAAATAACTCATAAACTCTCTTACATCTTCAAAAAATAAACTGAAGTTATCTGGGCTAGTAAATATTTGGCAATTTTTTTTGACTGCAGTTTGACCTCACAGGAACAACCAGCTCAATATCTATAGGCAAAACAGATTTCTTCTACATCAGAATACGAACGCAGGATTTCACAGGATGGCAAATCATTGTGTCTGTACTTGACTGTGGAGATGATGCAGTCTGATTTAAAGCACCTTTTAAATACTTTACCACAGGAGATAAAAATCATGTAGTGAGGTGTTGATTACTATGAACAAGTCGTAAACTACATACTCATTTTTTTCAAATAAATGTCTCACTGAAGCTGCATCAGTTGTATTTCTTTCCAAACCTAAAACTCATAAACAAAGCAAATCTGAGAACTGGTTCAGTCTTGGCATCTCACCAGTAGTGAAGACTGAACTTAGAGAGACTGCCTTCCCATGACTTAACATTATATAGCTGCAATACATTACAATCATTTTAAAATTAAGCAACTTAATTCAGTGGATAAATTTTGACTGCTGATTGTAGATTTGTTCTTTTTTGAGTTTTTCTCTGACAAGATGATGAAAAACAAGAGGCTCTAAAGCACACATTCACAAACCTGCTGTGAGGCGTCTGCTTCAGCGTTGGCATGAGCTTGTCTCTCCCTGTACATTTGCATTTGTCCCTCGAGCTGCTGCACCTGAAGAAATGAACAGAGACAGTGACAGGTCATTGTGAACGGGCATCGCAGAAAAGAGTAATGCTAACAGGCACGATCTCTCTCTTTGATGATTATTTACATAAAACAGACTGTCATGGTCAAGTTGAGTATTTAACTGAACTACATAAGTTTGAAGTCATAGCATCTATTTATAAGCATTTGCTTTTAATAGGCATCTGACAGGGTTTTGAAGCATAACTGTTTAACGTTGAGCTTTTGTCTATTTTTTTTTTATCAGCTATGATAACAGGGAGGTGTCCAGGCAACCACCCCAAAACAATCTGACACATAAAATACCATAAAACCCATGAGTCGTTTTTACACTTTGGTTTTTGTACAGATTAATCAAACAAGATATAATGTAATGAATTAGTAACCTTTCATAGACCTACTTCTTGTTGCAGCTTCACTTCCCGTTCTTCGCTCTCAGACTGATGCAACACGATCAACTGCTCCTGCTGGTTCAGCTTTGTCTGGATGGCTGAGATCTGTAGTTGGATGAGAGTATAATTTATTTTTTAACTGACATATTAAAGTGCTTTGACAAGTTAGTCTTCTCAGAATATAAATTGCTTCAAAATGCATAAATAAATCACAAGGGCACCATCTCCGTTCTCTCCTCCAGCAGTGCACTGAGCTGCTTCTTCTCCTCCTTCAGTCCCTCCAGAATCTCTTGCAGCTGATCTCTCTCCTCAGTGAGAGACGTCACTCTGCACAGCAGCTTCTCCGTCTCCTCTGTGGAGGTCTGACAGTTGGATTCCTTCTCAGAAAGCAGGCTGTCTCTCTCCGCTTTAATGATCTGCAGTTTCTCCGTTAACATTCTCATCTGTGAGGAAGGGTAGGAGGTACATAGATCATTCAAGTGTCTGTTTTAAAGTTGCAGCTTTAAACCAAATAAAATCAAAAAATTGTATTCCGACTTCTATTGTGTATACAACATTGTGCGTGTCACAAACCTCAGTCTGCAGTGATTCCATCTTGTCCTCTAGCTCTGCTCTTAGCTGCTTCTTCTCCTGCTCCAGCCCCTCCAGAATCTCCTGCAGCTGATCTCTCTCCTCAGTGAGAGACGTTACTTTGCACAGTAGCTGCGCCATCTCCTCTGTGGAGGTCTGATGGCTGGTGTGCTGCTCAGAGAGAAGACGGTTTCTCTCAGCCTCAGCGCTCTCCAGTTTCACAGCCAGATTGCTTATCTGCAAAGAAAAGAGAAGTTAAACGGCTCATCCTGCTCTAGAAACTGATTTTTACACAATGGAATTCACTAAAGTGAGATATAAGACACAAACCTGCTGTTCCAAAGAGGCCTCTTTCTCCTGATTTAATTTCTCCAGATCAGAGTTCAGGTTCTTCTGCTGATGCAGCTCCTCTTGGACTGACTTCAGAAGCTCTTGTGTTGAAGACAGCTAGAAAACAACATGCAAGTCAAACATACAAACATGTCACCAGGAGCAGATAAAACAGAAAAAAAGAATAAATAAATAAAATTACAATGCATTAAAAACTAAAATATGTAACAGTGGAAATGAACTGAACATTCTCAAAACCCACTCAAACTAAACATCCCTTACAAGGACCACATTTCTCACCACATTCATGTTCTCCTGCAGATCATCCTCCATCTGTTTCTTGTGTTCAATAACAGTCTGCAGGGAGGTATTCAGCTGTGCAGTCTGTTGAAGCAGATATGGACTCATTAATTTGTTTCAGTTTGACCACAGCATGCATTTTAAAACTTAAAACAGAAAGTTTTCTGTGTATTTCACCAGATGTCCAAAAGGCATCTCATGGACGGGCTACAAGCATAGTTCTATTTAAAATACACATCTTTTGATTTATAAGGTCCAACTGAAGGAATGACACATTTTAATCCCCCTTGGGGATTTTATCAAAAAGAAAAATGGTATCACTAATACAAGGTCAGCCATCAGGGGTGACTGAAGTACAATTTAGAAAGTCCTCCTTTGCACAGCATGTATTATCTATTAAAGGTTGCGCAAACTGGAATATTTTACCTATAGCTGTCAGAGAAAGCACCACCTATATCAGTTTTAAAAGACAATGTAAGACATGGCTGATCAACAATCAAGTGTGTGAACATTGAGAAAATCAGGCACTTTAATTGCATGCAGTTTAGGACCTGAAAAGTACTTTAAAGACACAGTAGCACTTTAGGGTAGGTACAACTCAGTCTGATTCAATCTTATCGCCACTGTCTGTGTTGATTTTAGTAATTAATTATTTTCTTTCTTTCTCTCCCCCCCGCTCTTTTATACGTTTGTATCCACGTGTGTTTCTCTTTTATGTGTGTGGGACACTGGATGGAAATTAGCCTTGTGCTAAATCCGGCGTATTAACTGCAACCTGAGATTGTATGTACATTAACATGCACTGTCCCGTCTAAATAAACAAAATAAATAAATAAAATTAAATATTAAACTGGTACTGCAGCATCACTGTCAGTATAGGGAGAAAAGGCATTGGTGCAGTTCTACTAAAAATAAAAAAAAAAGTCAAAATAATTTACAGTGGGAGCCTTAACATTGTTAAAAAGGGTGATTTGTTCCTCCTCGTCTCTGTGAGTCTCTGGATTTTGGTTTAAAAATGCTTTATTGCAATTTGTTATTCAATATGTACATCTATGCAATCAATGTCAATTTACAGAAGTAAAGCAATCCTACACAAACCTCAGTCTGTAGTGATTCCATTTTGTCCTCCAGCCTTGCGCTGAGCTGCTTCTTCTCAAGTCTCAGTCCCTCCAGAATCTCCTGCAGCTGATCTCTCTCCTCACTGAGAGACATCACTCTGCACAGCAGCTTCTCCATCTCCTCTGCAGAGGTCTTAGTGTTGGTTTCCTTCTCAGACAGCAGACTGTCTCTCTCTGCTTGCACACTCTCAAACTCCTCCGTCAGCCTCTGAATCTGAAGAAACAACCAACAATGGACACAAATGTAATTTTAAATAGCAAACATAATGTGAATATGATTATCTGCGTTTGAATAAGCTTGCTTCAAGTTTTCACAAATCTGGCCAAAAATCAACATGTGTTGAGATGGTGATGAAATAATTCAAATGTCAGCATTAAGTAGCAGGTTTATTCTGTGTATCCTCTATGTATAAAAATGCCATCCTGCCTGGTCTTTAAGCTCCTGTAAGTGGTGAATATTCTCTGTATCATTCCCACTGCTTGCTCTGCTCTCCAGCTCTGCCTTTAGACTTCTCAGCATGGTGATCTCCTCCTGTAGGGCTCCGATCTTCTCCTGAGACACTCTCAGCTCCTCCTGGTTCTCGATCATCTGAAAGTTATATTACCAGCACAGAGGTATACCAGTGAAGGTCTTTCCAAAGTCATTAAAAAGGAGTGTGCAATAGCAGGGTCAACAGTCTACCATCAATAATTAAGTAGATCTGGGAAATAACATGCTATACTAGAACATATAAGTGGAACAATTTTGCAAATAAAACTTTAATGAGTAGTAATTGAAAGGTTGAAAAAAAAACTCACCAGTTCTATATTTTCTTGAAGGTCAGACTTCAACTGGGCGACCTCCTCTTTAGTCCTCTCCAGATGCTCCTCCAGCTGTTGGATCTAAAACACAATGCAAATGTACTTTTATACCTTAGTTGCTCAGTGTAGGGAAAAAAAATAACAGAAAATGCAATTTCTTTTTTTTTTATTTGCTTCAAGCGTGTTCGCCAATGTTAGGAAAACGTAAAGAAAAAGTAAAATTAAAACAACATTAAAACAACACAAAGAAGAGTAAGAAAATGATCAAACCTGCAGAAGTCGTTGAGCTTCCTGCTCTTCTTTCAGTGACTGTGGTTCAGAACTGAGCTGCTGTTGCTCCTGCAGCTCACACTGCATCTGAATGGCAGAGAGAGAACACATGACACAAAGTGAGCTCAGTTTGTTAGGAATGAAGGCTTTCCTGGGCCTTTTTAAAATTGTGACAATGAAAATACACAAATTTGTCCATTTACCAGATTCCTGGAATTTTGTAAAATAAATAAAGTTTGATTTAAAAAAAAATAGAACTGTGGAAAAAATAAATACAAACTGTATTTAAGGTTTTGATGTTTGATTTTGTCGTATTTAATTGGAATGGTAGCATAATCATAAGGTTATTGTTGAGCTTAACATGAACATGTCCTTTTGCAATTCATATGTATTCTGTTGATTGCCACTTTGGCCTTACAGCTCTGGTTTACGCTGGAAACCTTAAATCTACCAGAGATGTGTTAGATAATTCCTTAATCATAATGTTAATTCACGTCATTGTAAAATATCTAAAGCTGACAAAGAATGTCTATTTAGATTCAGGGTTTTATGGGGAAAAATATGTTTCTATTTTCCAACCAAATGTACTGAATAAAGCATAATAATTATTAATCAATTATTAATAAATGATTATAATTATTAATAAATAATTGAATTTCCCTTCTGGGATAAATAAAGTATTTTTCATTCATTTCATTTCATTCATAATTTCAGTTTTCGTACTGCTATGAAAAACATAGATTTTACAATTCACACTTTTAAAGCAAGAGCATGCCCAGAATTATTTTAAATTTTATTTAACAAAAAAGAAGAAAGGAAAAAAGGAAAGACTCAATTTCCCTGATTCATCATGAAACTCTTACACGGGTTTGCAGTTCCTCCAGATGTGCACTCATATGACTTGGAGGCCCATCCAGTTTGGATGTCTGTGCAGTCTCCAGCTGTTTGATCTGTTCTTTCTGCTTGTGATTCTTCTCCAGGACTGCCCTCAGTTCCTCTTGATTCTCAATCATCTGTGTGACAAAAATGTATTTGCTTTATGGCTATAACATGCAAGACACAATAACAGCAAAGGCCGGTCACAGCTGGCCGAATTGAAAGTATTTAAAAAAGTTGCACTGGGAAGGGCAGTTACATGGTAACTCACCATCTCCACATTCTCCTGCAGATCCAGCTTGAGTTGGTCTCTCTCTGCAGTGAGAGAAGCCACAGAAGAGAGCAGCTTTTCCACCTCGTCTGGAGAGCTCTGAGCACCGGCTATTTTGAGAGTCTCTTTCTCATCTCGCTCACACTGTAGCTCCTGTGTTAGTCTCAGCATCTGTTAATACAGTTAGATTTCCATTAAAGTACTGACGATGAAAGATTCATTTTAGAAAAAGGAAACAAACAAGCTTAAGCACTATCACACTCACATGTTCACACATATCAGACTCTTTCTGTTCATGAAGTTGAATCAGATCAGAGTACTTCTGCTTTTGCTCTTGGAGTTCATTTTGAAGAGACTCGAGAAGAATTTCTGTCATATTAGCCTTAAAAACAAGGGAACAGCTCATTTAACTTGGAAAAACACACAACAAAATCGCTGGAGAAGAAGTGAAAGAGAGAAAGAAGAGAAGAAAGAAGAGATGTGAGAAGTAAGAAGATGGCCACATTTTAAAATATGTGGACAAAGAGTGTGTGAGAAACAACCAAAAATGTTTGTATTAAGTTCTATTAAGAGAGAATGAAACCATTGTCTGGTGACATCAATGAATGTTTAAGTGGTATTCACAGATTTTTGTTGTTAATTTATAATGTACACAAAGCAGAGCAGTCAGTCACCTTCTCCTCATGGTCCTGCAGGTTCATCCTGATCTCGTCTCTCTCTGCAGTCAGAGATGTTACAGTAGAAAGCAGCTTCTCCGTCTCCTCTGAAGAGGTCTCAACACCAGAACTCTGCTCAGACAGGAGAGCGTCTTTCTCAACTTGAATACGCTGAAGCTCTTCATTCAGCTGGTTCAGCTGGTGAGACACAAACAAAAAAGAGAAAAGTTCTATTTATACTATTACTTAATATATATTTTGTCCGAGTCTTACAAGTGACAATCTTCACAAGAAATGGCTCTCGAGGGATCATAAAATGAAGTCACATTTAATTTAGCAAATAATGACAATTAGCATTTTATCAAATAATTTAGTCATCATTTTGTCACTGTAAAAATGTTAACAGTGTCCTGAAGCTAAGGCAATGTGAGGAAATTGCCTATTTTAATTAACTAAAAGTCCAAAATACAAATACATGCAGAATCTACCGTCATATAAGACTAAGAAGCAGCAAACTCTCACAAATGATAAGTTGTAGCTGAGGTATGTTTGATCATTTCTCTTTAAAAATGACTGACAATTATCAGAATGGTTGCTGATTATCCCTCTGTCCATAGACTAATGCTGCAGCTCTAATGCAGTAACAGTAAGTATTGTCAATGACATACTTGTTCTTGAAGTTCTTTGTTGATCTCTTCCTCTGTGGTTCTGGAAACCTCACTGTCAGCAAACTTCTCCTCCAAATCCTTTATCAGTTGCTGCATCTCGTTCAGTTTTCCTTCCAGTGATACTCTGAGCTGGTTGCTCTCTTCAAGCTAAAGTAAAAAATATTATGAAGAGTTCTTGTAAATTCAGTGGTAACTAATCCAACGCTACAGCGGTATGCGCTTTATTGTTGGCATGGCTCCACACTGCTGGACTGGATGCAGCAGTCCTGATGTGGGCTTAATGAACATTTAATCAAAATATTCGCAAAATAGTAATAGTAAATAGCAATGTGGGTAACTGCGATATTCAGACCACAAGAGCTGTATTTTTTGGTGAAAGATAAAATGTGTCATAATACGCCATCATGAATTAAGTAATATGATGCTACGTTAATGCCCTGGCAATGTCAAAAATTGACTATTCAGATGCTACAACTAAACAAATGAAAAAACGAATACAAATTCTGATCTAAATATCACTATTATTAACAAAAATTCTGCCAGCTCTTATCATTATCTGGTGAGCTCTGGATGTGATACACAGACTGATAAGCTCTACAAATATATTACTCATGTCACATAGTCATTATTAACCTTATTAGATATTCTGTAAAAGATGCTATAGGCACACTAAAAAGGGTTTTAAAGAGTGCCGGTCCTGACCTCTCTGAGGCGCTAAGCAAAATTCTGCTACGGGAGTTCCCTATCGGACTAGTGAGCTATGTAAACCAATTGTCATTGCACACACACAACACATTAGCGCTCCCACGACAATCCCTCCTCCTTCAAAGCAGTTTGCACCATCTATCAGTCTAAGAAAAAGTACATAACAAGAAAGCTCACTCAAGCCCATTCAGCCAAGCTCCCCCAGATTCCTTTCATCTGATCAAATACGAGGAAGAGAAGAGAAGAAGCACAACCTAGCACTTGAGAAACAACATTTTCTCCACTATTTTTGCTTAAAAGATAGAGACAGTTAACTACTTAACACATAACTGTCAATCAATTTTCTTTCAGAAGGACCAACAATGTCAACTTTTATCTTAATGGAAGATGAATGGTCAATCAGGATCAAGCTTCAACTAACAGCAGCAACATCAATCCGAACTCCATAATTTCAATGTTAAGAAAGTAGTACAGAATCATGATCATAGAGAATCCATATTTTTTTAGTCTACCTTCAAGCTTCTCTCTTCCATTGAGACCACAAGCTGACTCCTCTCAACTTCAGATTGCTCCAGGTCTGAGCGAACTGAATCCAGCTGCTGTGTTACTTCAGCACACTGATGGTTCAGCTCAGTCTCTCTCAGTGCAGCGGCGCTAAGATCTTCTTGATATTTCAGAACCTCATCCTGAGACATCTGCAAGGAGTTTCTAAGCTGCAGAGCCTCCTCCTGACATTGATCTTGAAGTGAGAGCAGGTTGTTCTTCTGAGTTTTAACAGCATGCAGCTCCTCAGTCAACTCACACACCTGAGACAAAACAGAAGAAAATCACACCATTAGTAGCATATTAGGCCCTTCTCTATCTGATGCCATCCTTAAAGGATGTTTGGAGGACTCACCTGCTTCATCAAGCTGTCCACCTGATCAGGAAGAGTCTTAAATGAAGCGAGTTCTTCCAGCTGAGCTCTGAGAGCTTCCTCTGCTTCATGAGACGCTGTCAGCTCTTTATTCAGACTGGTCACTGTTCTCTCAAGCTCCACACTGTCTATCAGATCTAGTAAAAAAGAGAGCATCTTAAAATTCTTTGATTTTTACAGGCTGAATGTCTTACCTCAAAAAGCTGACTTGCATTACACAAACACCTAAAGTTTAAACCTACGTTTAGGGACTTTGCCATCCAGCAGAGTGGTGAGCTTGGTGTTTTCGTCAAACGCAACATTCAGCTCTTTTTGGAGATCTGTCTGCATCTTTTTGTAGCGTGACTTCTCCGTTTCAAGTTGAAAACGCAAGCTGTTCACCTCAGCTTTCATCCTTTCATGATTGTCGGTCAGGGTCACCTAGAGGGGAGATCATAACAAACAAAAGAAGTTATTGATATTGGCCTTGCGATTACTAGTCCACATATAATACAAAGACAATAAATATGGAAACACAGAGTTCCTAAAGGCAGACCATAAACTTAGCATATATTAGCATTTCAGTGACTTAAAACTAATTTTGGTGTGCATCAAACGACCACACCAAGAAAACCTGAAGAGGAATTATGTGTCTGCTTCCAGTCTACCTAGTCCGGATCATTTGAGGTTAGAACCACCAAAGGACTGTGCAACAGTCTATGTGATTTTAGTAAGAATTCAAAAGCTAAACTGCTCATAAATTTATGAATATTTTAAGAATGTCTTACTACCATGATAACCAGTATGTGTCAGTCTAATGGATGCAGGGATTTACTGTGACAGTAAAAACTGGGCTGAAAAAGAAAAACGTTATAATAAAAAAAAAAAATTGAAATTCAGGCATCCCCAAATATAAATGTTCTTTTTGTTGTGTACAGTACTTCCCATTACTTTACATCTGTATGAAAAGTGCAGTACGAATAAAGTCTGATTTACTGATTAACTGTTTAGCAAAAGCAGACATTATACAGTCTGTTTTCAGTATCAGTCACCAATATTCTAGGGAACTCTTTATGATGCCAAAGAAAACAAGACAGCACCAAGTTAAAAGTGATGTGTAGTAACTGACCAGAATACACTGTTGTATAAATTTTTTCAATGTGATGCCATGTAGAGCTGATTATGGAGGACAACACTCACTTGAAGTATATAGTCAGTTTACATCACATCCCATTTACCCTTCTTAGTGTGTATGTTATAAATCAGTGTGAACACAAACTCTACTAGAACTATGAAATAATCTTTTTTTCTTTGAGCCAAAGTAACTGAACTACAGAAGTGGAAGTGACCTTTGCTTCAACATTTTTAATAAACTGATATTTCTTTTACATTCTATACCAAAGTGGAGGCTATGGCCAACGGTGCTATGAAAGTTGTCACATCATTGTTCAGTTATTGTATGTTTCACAGATTTATGGTTAATGTCTCAGTCTCAAAGCCCCTGGTCACTGCATATCTTTTATACAACAAACAATACAGACAATAAATCAGACAAAGCACTCCATTGCTATTGGCCCAGACACTTAGTTTAACCAAAAAGTAAAACCACTCACGATATTTTCACTTTGAAACATATTTTCAGATTGCAAAAATAATAATCACACTTACATTCGTCTCCTCCAGAGCAATTTTTTGACTGCGGAGCAGAGCCCATTCCTTCTTTGTGTCTCTGCTGAGTCCCTCTGCATCATCCAGAGAGCGACGAAGCTTCGCCACCTCCTGCACCAAGTCTTTACCATTCTGCAAAGAGGAAACATGATACAAGTTATCGGCATAATGACTTGATTATTAAAAAGATGATTACTAGGGATGTAAATTAAGGATGTTTCAAGGTTTGTCATGTTCTCACATTGCCATTGCACTTCATCATAAATTCGTTGTAGTTGCATCCAGTGTAGTAATGTGACTTCTATTCTTTCACTATGAATAATTATACACACAATGTAAACACTGTACAAACTACTTCTGCAACACTGAACTTAAACACATGCAATTTAAAAAAAAAAAAATGTGTGTCAGTAATATAATTAATCTTTAAAAGATACATTAGACAACACTTTACATATAAGCTTTCCCGAAACTACTCTATTCTGTTAATAATTTGTGGTTCTGTTTGTAAATACACTACAGTACCCATATTTTTTCATTAATTAAAGTTATACAATAACATTTCCACTTTGAATTCAGTCAGTCAAAAGTTATTGTAAATCTGAAAGCTTAGAAATGCTATACTGTAGACATTTTGACCAAAAAACACTCACTATAGCCTCCTTCAGAGTCATCATTTGGGCATTTAGTTTAGTGCTACACACAACCAGCCTGAAAACATCTGTCCATCTCTGCTAAAAGTTTGTTTACAGACTGGCTTCATGTTGCACCTTTAGGATTTTTACAAGTAATATGACAACTTGTCAAAAACATGGTTGAATAACACATACCATATTCTGAAGTTCTTCTGCAAATTCAGTTTTGTTCTTCAGCTGTTCAGACATCAATTCTAATTTGTTCTAATAAAAGAGAGATTCAAAAAAAAAAATGTAAACACAAGCAAAACTGCTGCAGTTCTCAGGTCTAACAATTTCAGTATCTCAACATTGGTTCAGTGATGTCCACTTAAAATATCAAAACTTAAGTAATAAAATTATAAAAGGTCAGAACTTAGACAAATGAAATGACTAGGTAGATTTAACTCAGGTGATGTATATTTAATGTGGACTGTAACTGTTACTTTAGTCACACAAAACAAGCTCCTTTTCAGATTAACCTGAGGAAAAACTTTTTTTTAGCATGTCATCTTACCTGAAGTTCCATGCACTGGAGTTCAGAGGCTTTGATAGCTTTTTTCAAGCTGGATATTTCATTTTGCAATTCGTTCTGCAAAATCACACAAACAAAATAAATGCAGTGTAAATAAATCAATAAACAAAAATACAAACTAGGAAAGACAAAATTTTGTAATGGGAAACTTTACCTCACTCTCCCTCCTGATCTCCTCCTCCAGAGATTTGAACTCATCCATCTCCCTCTTCTCCTCCAGTTCCTGAGACAAAGCAGCTTTCTCCTTCTCCAGAGTTTCAGTCTGCTCTATGAACATCCCCAGCTCCTGTTTCAGATAGTCTCGCTCAACAGTCACCATGTCCTATGAACATAAAACATTGCATCACTTTTAGCAACAGTAAGCATTACTATGTGAAACATATGACACTAGTATTTTCCCATCTTGAATAAATGTTGATGTAATTCTAAATGTAGAACGTTGACTGGGATGTTGCTGTGTTTTGTGTAATAACTATGTTAAAGTCACTTGAACAGGCTTTTTCAGATATAAATTGGAAGTTTGGAATCGCTGTACATTTGAGCAATTTATAATGAACTGATCTGATTGCCTCGTGAAATATGGTTGTTTCTCGAACTGGTCTGACTAGATTAAGCCGTGCTAGGATGTGTTTGACCAACAACTTGTCTGGTAAATAGTGAACCCACATCACAGTTGAGACCCTCATCTAGCATTACCTTCTCTGAAGCCAAAGTTTCACACAGCTGGATGGTCTCCGCAAACTCTTCTCTCATCTGGAAAACAAGATATTAAGACTAATCCTGAAACCAGCTAAGATAAAACAGAAAACATAACTGTGGATTTCTTCTAACACTTGGAAGATGCAGAGCATGTACCTGTATTTTAAAAAGAGAGCATACCTGTCCATCTGTTTCAGTCTGAGATTGGCTTTGTTCTTCCGGCTGTCTCTCCAAGTCTGCTACTCTGAACTCCAACATCTCCACCTTCTCCATGGCTTCCAGCTTCTGCTGAGTTTCAGTTTCCAGCTGCAGCTCAAGCTCAGCTGCCCTTTGTTCTGCTGTGTGCATTTTCTCCAAAGTCTCCTGTTTCTGGTGAGCCTCTGTTTCAAGTTGTAGCTGCAGTTCTGTCACTTGGCAATCTAACGTTTCCACCTTTGCAATGGCCTCCTCTTTCTGCTGACTCTCCATTTCCAGCTGCATCTCCAGGTTGGACACTTTCCCTGCAAGCTCATGCATCTGATCAGGAGACACAAAGTCTCTGGGACTAGAGAAAGATAAACATAGATTTGACAAGTGTGAGAAAGAGCAGGGTATATTTTCACATGCACTGGTCTTGGGTTTACATTTAAGTTGGACAATACATTATCAATATACAGCTGAGAATATAGACACAGCTACACACTATAATGGCAAACCAAGAAAAAAAATGAATGTACTGTTCTGGAGCTTGGGAGGATGCAGACTGTTACTATGAGATGAATGTTTGCTACAGATTAAAGGCCAGATTTGTGCCCAGGTCTAAATATATTAGTCAGTGTCTCACACTAATCTGTTAGTGGTATAATCCATATAGTTAGAATTTTTGTGTGTGTATAGCATTAGGTTTTGCAGTGTTAGCGAAAAGTATATATATAGTCCTTCTCTACGCCATGAATGGAACAAGTTGCAATTCATGTTTTAGGTTCTGTTGTGGGACAGAAAACAGACATGTGAAAAAAGGGTCAAATAAAGACTTTCTTTTTTGTAAAAATGCTAAAATGTGGATAATTACCAAAGGTCCTTTTCTCAGATTTGATATGGCACACAATTCTGCAATATGCAGGAAGACCATACATCATAACCAACAAATGAGCGCTGAATAAGTGAATTGTGGATGATGAAAGATACCCCACAGGCATGTTTGAAAATATGTGTTTCTAATATGTTTTTTTTCCCTTTAAAAAAAAATAAAAAAATCAAGAAAACAAGGTCTAATTCATGATATACGTGTCATACATCATATACTCCTGGGGCATTAATTCAGTGACAACAATTATATCTGCTCAAACATTTACCTGTCTCCAAAGCTTCGAACTGTCACAGAGCTCGGACTTATCTCCATTTCATCTGACGGCTCATCAGGAATCCCCCAGTGAGAGTCAAAGTCCTCATCATCTGTTAGAATACAGCATGCATTAAACCACAGTTAGAGCACAGTTCCTGCATTAAATGGAAATTACAATTAGAATTCCAACTTGCAGTTGGCATATGCATATATTTTTTTCCGTTACCTTCACCCAGCTCCATCAAACAGGAGTCTGCTTTCCTCTTCCAAGCCCCATGTTCTGCAAAGCTGAGGTCCGACGAGCCATCGCCACAGGTAGATGGACGGGCAAGTCTGAGCACTTTTCCTCCCCAAGTAACCCTACGTTTACGCATCTTACAACAGAACAGGACTCATTATTACTATGATAACAAAGACAAAGCCCAAACTAGAGTTTTATTACAATCATGATTACCTTTTGTACAGGGACCAGGTTTGAGCTGGTCACAAGCAGTTTGGTCAGGTTTCTAATCCTGTCCTCTTGTTCTCTCTGGAGCTGATCCTTTTCTTGGAGAAGCTGGGAGAGAACCTCCTTCTCTGTTGCTGTGGTCTTTGTGACTGAGGAAACCTGTAGATCATGCACAGGTCAGTGTGTAGAAAGTGCTGCTGTGATGAAACTTGAAGAGACAGGCCAAACAGAACATGACTAAAGACAAAAACAGGTGGTACTTGCCTCGTGAAGGCGTCGCTTGAGGTCTACAATTTCATTGCGATACCTTTTGAGCAGAGCCCCATCGTCTGACACCTCCGTCACATGAGGGTCATTTTTCATTTTCTTTGCTGTGCTGGCAAACTAACAGAAAGAAACAAGCATGTTATGAATCACCATTTAACTCTGATTTCTCGGTTTCTTTTTTGCTCTGATAGTGCGTGTTTTTAATTCTAACAACTTTCAGCCCACACATCTATCCGCAAAGCTGTGGCGTTTCATTTTATATGTGCAAATGTTATAAAAATGTACCATACTATTTAGTAGTATGTAAATAATAATGGTGATGATACTGAGGGTCATAATGCAGAGGTACTATTAGTAAAAGGTCAACAAGACTGATATCTGCATATTCCACCTACTTGCAAAGTGCTGAGTGTCTCATCTAGAGTAGCAGCTGTGATGGTGCAGATGATGACAGTTTTAGCATTTCCACCCAAAGAGTTCTGTAGGATACGGGTCAGCTTGCTGTCTCTGTAGTTTGTGAAACCCCTGAAGAAAGAAAAGAATATTTAACAAATTATGGCACCAGGAATTTAGCAATAAACACATTGAAAAGAGCTGTCTATACTGATTTTTTAAAACCGTTGTATTTTTTTCTTCTTGTTATTTTTTCCCCTGCATGTACACAAATTTTTACTCGAATATGAGCCAACTGGAGATCCAAATGTTTTGTCTGTGGCTCCATATTGTCTGGAGTAATTTCAAATGAACAAATAATCAATCTTTTCTTTATCTTTGTCATGCTAAGAAGCTGGGCTGCAGGGTGGCACAGTTGGTAGCACTGTTGCCTCGCAGCAAGAAGGTTGCCGGTTCGCGTCCCGGTGGGGGCACCGGAATCTTTCTGCATGGAGTTTGCATGTTCTCCCCGTGCAGCGTGGGTTCTCTCTGGGTTCGCCGGCTTCCTCCCACAAGGTCCAAAAACATGTTGAGGTTAATTGGTGATTCTAAATTGTCCGTAGGTGTGAATGTGAGTGTGCTTGGTTGTCTGTCTCTAAGTGATGCCCTGCGATAGACTGGCGACCTGTCCAGGGTGTCCCCTGCCTTTGCCCTGAGTCAGCTGGGATAGGCTCCAGCCCCCCCACGACCCTCATGAGGATGAAGCGGTGTATAGATAATGGATGGATGGATGCTAAGAAGCTGTACTTTTGGCATTTGTTTGGAACTTGTTGTTCTTAATTGACTGGATTCTCTATATTATAATTGAGAGTGAGAATTTAAAGGTTTAAATGCATTAACACAAATGGAAAAGTCATTGCAATAAATATTTGCATTGGATGTCCATTGTTTACTCACTTCTGGTTTTCATCAGTGAGTTTCTTGATCACTTGAGCCAGTGTGAACAGACTGCGATTGATATTGCAACCTTCTTTGAAACGTGCACCTGCGATATCAAAAAAGGATGAATTACTGTAAACTGAGTCGACTCTGTAGTGTAGACTCAGTAAATGCATCTCATGTGGCTTTAATAAATAAGCTAAAACAGACTGTCCATTTAATTGCACTTACCTTCTGCTCCTGTTTGACTTGCTCTCTCAGATCCAGCGAGATCAACCAAGTTCTGAAGACAAAGCAAAATTGCTTGTAACTTAATAATTACAACAATGCAAACAGTGACACAAACAACAAGATCGAAACCAAAGTTAACATAAAATTGAAAAACAAGTCTATAATAAAAGGACCTTGCTTACCAAGTGAGACACAATGATGGCTCCATCAGCATTTTCACCAGTTACTGGGTCGCTCTTTTCCCTGCTCTCTAGGATCTAAAGAAAACATAACTGTAAAATATCCTGATTTCCCGAGAGTCCTAAGTGAGTGACGTTATGTTGCTTACCATGCGGAAAATTGTATGTGAGCGGCTGCTCCTCTGGTTCATTTTTGTCTTTCCATAGTGGCGGTTTTCTAGAGAGGAAAGTTGTGCAGAAAAGACATTGCTTATAATATACAGTCGTAGTGCATAGCGTGTAAGCATCCTTCTAATAAATATTCTCAGATCTTACTTTCTCCTTTCCGAATCCAAGCCAGGGCTTGTGCAGGAGATGTAACAAGCTCTTCAGTCAGATCAGCCACATAGATGTTTTTCTAGACAGTAAATATCAACAACTACTACAATGATCATGTAAAACAGCAAAATATGTTTAGCAATTATTTTTGGCCATTCAGTGCTTCCAGACTTTAAAATGTTACGAAGGAGGGCTTTCCATCTTTAGGTTGCCCCTTAAAATCCTACTTGAGTTGAGTTACTCAAACTTTAAGTTTTAAAAGTAATAGATGAGTAGTTTTTAGTTGTAATTAACTTGCTAATGTTGAAAATAAACCTGCAAATATCTGATTGAGAATATGCCACTAAATCTCACACTTCTAAACAGCCCACTAACATTGATTGTCTCTCGTATTTCCAGGGGTTTTCTCTTCCAGCTGTCAACAAGCAGATCGGTCACGGTCTCATTGTAGATTTCCATGTAGGACACCCTGAGAAGAAACTCCTTCTTTGGATACTTGTAGCAAAAGAGAAGCAGTTGTTTAGAAAAACCATGTGACTAAACAACAAAATCCAGCATATTTCAAACATGTGACAAAGTTATTACAGTTTTAATGGTTTGGAAGACGTCATCAACAGCCAGAGGTATCACTCCAGGGATATGGTCACTCCCCATCATGGTAAAAGTCTTTCCAGATGAAGTTTGCCCATAAGCAAATATAGTTCCTGTGAAACACACAACATATATAGAAACAAAAGAAGAATGCTGCAACTACAGTGAGTGGGATGAAACAACATGTTTATACAAAAATAGATCTCACTGTGTGCTCTTTCCATTACATACCATTGTATCCTTCAACTGTGGAAACAACCAGAGGCTTTGCAATATTCTGGTAGAGCTGATTAGTTGTTTCTTCGGCAGTGAACACTCTGTCTGTGAACAACAGATGAATAAAGTGAACGCACAGCACATTTCAATTAATGACTCTATATTGAGTATCTGGAAAGAAAACAAAATATGGTCATCCTGTACATGCATACCAAAACTAAAACTCTTGGTGGAATTTCCTTCATCAATCTGATGAATTGATTTCTTATCAGTTTTCCAAAACAGCTGGACAGGCTCTGCATTCTCTGATGCAGCATTTTTCTCCCTGCAGAAAGAGACACGTGTTAGATAATAATTGAAAACATTACAAGACTTTCTGGATAACAACTTCAAGCAACAGGTTTGACACTGCTCTGTGGGAATACATTTGTGAATGACTTCTTAAAACATCCCTGACAATTTTACGAGCACCAGCTTGAACAAAACTTAGCAGGATAATCCTGGATTTCTTTTGTCAACAGTATCAAAACTAATATGTAGTCAAAAATCTCCAGCATAAGTAAGTGAGCTGTATGACAGATTGAGGCCTTGATACTCAAATGCAGTTTGAAAGGAAAGCAACATTTTACTAGAGGTATATACAACAACAACAAAAAAGGATTTTTTAGATATCAGACCTGTGTATATCAGTGCACAAGGTACACATTCCTATGTACATTTGCCAAACCACATATTTAGTTCTCATCCGCCAAATCTTTTCTATTTGAAATCTGAGGCCATTTATGCCATTCTGGCAGCACTGTGATAAGGATGGCAATGTCTTTGGGTTGCAAGCAGACTGAAATTCTAGCTAGGATTTTAGACTTGTTGAAACAGCAGGATAATTATAAAATAACTGTACAATACAAAACAGATAAACACATACAGTAGAGCCCGAAAGTTTGAAACAACATGAAAAATCTGTCAAATTACTATGTAAACCTAGATAAAAATTTTAAGAATCTGAACACATTTCAAAACAAAAGGGCCACACATTCACACTCTTCGTCCAATCAGATGAACCGCCAGCTAGCTACTCTGAGAATAATTGGTGTCAGTTTGGATATTTGCGTGCAATTTGCTTAATAAGACATTATCAAAATGATTTAGGAGAGCTTTTTATTGAGTGGGCATAGGGTATTCAATGGGGTCTAAGTCTTCAGTGTTCCTGTTAAAGCAGAAACACATAGGAACTGGATGATTGATACACCTTAATGCAGGGGTCTCGAACTCCGGTCCTCGAGGGCCGCAATCCTGCAAGTTTTAGATGTTTCCTTCTTCCAACACACCTGATTCAAATGATCAGCTCATCATCAAGCTCTGCAGAAGCCTGATAACGATCCTGATCATTTGAATCAGGTGTGTTGGAAGAGGGAAACATCTAAAACATGCAGGATTGCGGCCCTCGAGGACCGCAGTTCGACACCCCTGGTATAGAACAACGATATCACAGACTGTCCTCATACTGTGCAGGCCCTCTCATGGCAAACAAGAGCAATCAGTTTGTCAGTTAGAAATATAATAACAACTACAACAATTATGCAGTATTTGGAAACGTGTGAATATTCATACGTTTGTTGTGACCATGAGGATGAAGTGTCTACAAAAACATCAGTCAGGCTTTGTATATTTTTTAACGACAACGGTTAAGTGTCATTCAAATGCAATGTTTGCTAACAGCAACAGTAGGAGCTTTTTTAAATAGAGTACAAAAAACTACATTTAAACATGTTACACACCAATTAACTTTTATTTGTTTAACGTTTGAAACAACGACTAAGAACAAACGTTTCTTTCGCAATGTTACACGTTAGCTAGCATTAGCTTTAGCTAACACAATTCTTAATTGGAAACCAGTTAACTGTTAGCTAAAAACTTACCTCGCAACAAGTGGACGGACGCGAACGCAAACTTTAACAGCCGACTCTTCTGTCATTTTCTTGACGATATTCTCCCACCAAACATAAAACCTCTATACGCCTAACCAGCCTCGAGCGCACTCGCGACTCCCCTCACTGTTTCAAATTCTGCTACTTGTATTTGATTGGTGGACGTCATCGGGCGGACGGATCCATATGTGCCGGGGGGGGGGGGGACATCGAATTACGTTTAAATTGCGGTTGTGCTTTTAAAAAATCTATCTCGAAAAATATTTAATGTCACCCATTTGAGTATGAGACTGAATTAGCGAGATATATGTTGTTTAGTGTTAAAATTCAGCATTTAAATATCAAATTAATATGGTCGCACCCCAACCTGGAACGAAAGTATGCGACGGGCCTGAGTGGCGTCATCAAACCGCATTTTTGTTGTTGAGCACAGGTTTTGCAAAGAAACATCAATTCAGTGTTCACATTTTTTTAATGTGACACAACTAAACTCCAAGACTTTCTTTGGGGATTTCATCAGATTCTTCTTTTTTCATGCAGTAAATCGTATTTAGTTGGCCAAAATATCTGGAACCATACACGTACCCTCACTTACTTCAGGTCCTGTCACGTTTAATTTTTTTCAGATCAGCTGTATATAAAACTGTCTAACGCTAATAGTTTATGTCAAGTCTTCCTTATTTATATAACCCATTTAAAGCAACAGCCACTGAGCCTAACCGCTTTCCTGTAGAAGAATACGATGGCAATTGCAAGTTAATTCAAGACCCTGCAGTGTTATCTATGGTAGGAAATTACCATAGTAATTTAATTATTAAAGATTAAAACCCTTCAGAAATCTGCATGAAAACATTGCATGACGATAACAATTATAATTTTTTTGTTGTTGTTGCTATGGCGCTGTGAGAGTGGCAGCCAGTTGCAGCAGCTCCTACCTACTTTCTGTGTTTTTGGCTATTTACTTTGGTTTTTCTTCTGTCTTTTTTAATACACTCCTGATCAAAATCTTAAGACCAGTTTAAAAAATTGCATGAATTTGCATTTTGCACTGTTGGATCTCAGGAAGGATCTAAGTAGAGCTTCAAAATGCAAAAAGAAGAAATGGAAACAAGAGACCAAACATTGTGAGCAGGCAATTTATTGAAAACAACAATTTAAGTCAAATAGGCTGTTCATCAGCTGATCAAAAGTTTAAGACCACAGCTCAAAAAAACCCCAAAACCTCCTAAAACAGAAATTGAAGTGTCAAACCCGACTCAGTCATGAGTAGCTCCACCATTATTGTTGGTATGTTCTTGTATATCAAAGGGGGGCCCAGCAGAGAAAGTTTGGGAACCACTGGTCTATGGTGTGGTGACGCACAGGCAGAGACAATAATACCTGACTGCAGCCCGTGCTGTCCCCGAAGCC